GTGACAGAGCACTGGAACAGGCTGCCCAGAGAGGTTGTGGAGTCTCCTTCTCTGGAGATCTTCCAAACCTGCTTGGATGCAGTCCTGTGCCATGTGCTCTTGGTGACCCTGCTTGTGCAAGGGGGTTGGACTAGATGACCTCTAGAGGTCCCTTCCAACCTTAAGCATTCTATGATTCTGTGATTCACTGAACAGAGTGAAAACTTGCCAGGAAAAATTTTGATGAGATTGAAACATTTAATTTGGCACATTGTGAATTAAAAGAGGGGAACTGATGTATGAGGCCAGGATTCTTGGTGGTTTATCCTGCTCCTGAGACTTGCAGTTTGTGTCTCTGTAACAGACCTGCCTGGTTTTGGGGCAAGTTGTCTTGGGAATCTCTTGCTTCCTGTAGAAGACTAATATACACTTCAGGTGGCTGTTACAGGCTTAAGGGAAGTGCCATGTTCTGTTGGCTCTTTGGGAAGATCTTTTTTAGCTAACCGGGTTCTTGTTCCTTAGTGCTAGATGGAATAAAGTTTGCTTGGAGCGAGCCCCGATGGTTGCTTGGAGGAGCATGCTTGTAGCTGCTTGTGTTGGAGAGCTGGCTACCTCAAACCAGGCGAGGCAGCATTTTTGAGATTCCCACCAGATATTTGCTGCTATAATCACTGACAGCTCTTCACTGATCTCTTTGGACTAGAAGCGCAGGATGCCTTTGGCTAGCATCACATAGGTGTCTAGGAGTCCAAGTTTATTCTTTGACCCCAAAGTGCAAGTTAGTGGCATGTGCACACTGGAGACTGCCCAGAAAAAAAACGCCTTTGTTCAAAACAAATTTCTTAGTGAGGGTTTCTTATTGGAGGACCATGTATTGATGAAGCAAATGTCATAAAGGTGCAGTCAGGTGGTCAGTTATATTAGAGACACAAAAAAGCCTCACACAGGTGTTAGTTCATGGGGCAAGGCTGAGGGAAGATGCTTAGTGGTAGAGACATAAGCATGAACAGGAGATGCCTAGTAACACTGATACACTTGAGATGGGGCTCGTGATGCAACCAAAAATAGGCCACTGTCCTGCAATTGGAGCAGGAGGTGGTGGTAAAGTGGCAACAAGAGCCAATGCCTGGGCCCCCTGTGTGCGCCATGCCAGCACTGTGCCAGCTAGTGCCTCTACCTTGCTGAGGAAGCCCCCATTTGCTTCCTCCTGAGCATGATCCTTCGGCATCTGGCTCCCTGGCCTTGGGGAAGGCTGTTTTGGAGTAATGCCTGGCCAGCGTACTGGCCTTCCCATCCCAGTGCCTGTGGCTCGGCTGGGAAGCAGTATGGTGATATGATGGCCTTGTGGGTGAGCAGTCTCCTCATTCTGTGCCATCTGAGGGAGCTCTGTAACATTAAAGAGAGGGTGCCATCAGATCCAGTCACAAAAAAGATGGGGAGTTCCTGTCCTTCGGAAGCAAGTGGCTCTTGGTGTTTCCTCGAGCGCTGTTTAATGAGAGAAAATTCTCTGATTCTTGGGGTTCTGCATTGTTGACTCTAAAACTTACAGAAATGAGCAGCAGCTAGATTTGCTGTTTTGAAGGAAAAAAAAAAGGCTGAGCAATGCTACAAATTACAGGTGAGTGTAGCTGATGATCTGGGAAGAAAGTATCAGTGATCCTAGAGACTGCTTGATGTGCCTCCAGTTTAAACACCTGGGAAGAGGAAGATGGAGAGAGATGGGGAACGGCTGGCCAGGCCAGACACAGCTGCAGTGGTAAATAAATAGAAGAATTGCCAGATGGGATAATTATGTGCAGCCCTTGTTGCTCGATTGTGCTACTTTCTGGCTCTTTTGACTGCTGCGAATCCCCTCCTAAAACTCAGCTATGCACACAGATTTAAGGTGCTTATATGCAGAATTTTAGTTCCCTGCAGTTTTTGTACCTTATATTTGTTAAAGGTGAGACTACTGCTAGCTGAATGCGTATAAACTCGGTCACAAAGGGTTGTGCTGGCAGGCTGATCAGCAACATAGTCAAATGGTGTTGTGGTGGTGGTGGTGGTTTTGGTTACGCTTTTTAAAGCAATGTGTGTTTTGGGACCCAAATGACCAGCTCCTCCTGTCTCCCATCCACAGGTGGCAACATCCTTGTACTGAGCACGTGGGGAGTGGAGGCTGGGCCACACATGCAGGCTCTGCACTTCAGCTTCGCAGTAGGAGCCTTTGTGGCTCCCATTCTGGCTAAAATGGCCTTAGGAGGCTCTGTCCCTAAGGACGTGGCAGGAGATGAGAAGACAAACCAGTCTGTCTTGAAGCTTGTGCCAACAGCATTGACCCCGTTGTCACTGAAACCTCATCTCGATGTGGATTTTTTGTGGTCCTACGTTGTTATAGGGACGTATCTTCTGTTTATTTCTTTCTTCTTTTTTATTTTGTATTCAAGGAGCAGTTCAGCTCGAGACAAATCCAAGGCTGCTTCGCAGAAACACGTAACTGCCAAGTACCACTATGCCCTCATTTTTCTCCTTTTCACATTCTTCTTCTGCTACGTGGGAGCGGAGGTCACTTACGGCTCGTACATATTCACCTACGCAAAGGTTTTTGCAGAGATGAAAGAAAACGAGGCGGCCGCGTTGAATTCCGTGTTCTGGGGCGCGTTTGCAGCTTGCAGAGGGGTGGCAATATGCTTTGCTGCGTGCCTGTACCCCGGCACACTCATCGTGCTGAGCATCGCGGGCTCTGTGCTCTCCTCCGCGTGCCTTGTGCTCTTCGCCACCCACCCGCTGTCGCTGTGGGCCGGAACTGCTGTCTATGGCGCTTCCATGGCCACCATCTTCCCCAGTGGCATTTCCTGGATAGAGCAGTACACGGTTATCCAAGGCAAATCCGCCTCCTTGTTTGTGGTGGGCGCTGCGCTGGGCGAGATGTTCATCCCCGCGGCAGTCGGCTATCTGCAGGGCAGGTTCCACCACGTTCCCGTTGTCATGTACGCGGCGCTGGGCACCTCGGCCATGACGCTCGTGCTCTTCCCCATCATGTACAAACTGGCCAGGGCGCCCAGCCACAGGGACTTCAGAGAAGTGGGTGAGAGCGAGGACCGCAAAGCCCTGTTGTCAAACGCGGGCCTTAATGACGATGAGGAGGACGAGGAGGACGCGGGCGAGTGGAACGAAGCAGACTTTGAGGTAATAGAAATGAATGACACACTGAGAAACTCTGTGGTAGAGACCACCCGGAAGATACCCGGAGACTCTCCGGCCAAAGTCATGCACCAGCCACACTCTGATAATGGGCTGGGTGGTTCTCCAGCTCGTAGCTCCTCGGGGATTAAAAATGCGAGTGCTGACCGGGAGAAGAATGACTGAAGCTTTAAAAAAATCAAAAAAAGACTTTTTCTAAAAAGGGAAATGCAATTGAATTGTAGCTGTTCTTGTGAAGTGATTCAAGACTCTTTTTACAGTGGCACAGAAATGTTTGCACTCCTGTTTTGTCCAGTCCTTTCTCCTCTTTCATTTCCAGTCTGCAGGTGTGTAGCTTGGAGTGGGAAAGTCCATGATGATCTGGTTCAGGTAATGTGAGGAACTTTGATGATGATACTGAAAATGTTGAAGCATACGAGATGTTTTCTGAATGTGAGGCCTGCGGTGAGGTAGGTGATGCTCTCGTGTTTGTTAACTAACTTGGAGAAAGGGCCCTGGTCAGAGCACCCGCTGCGGTGGCTGTGCGGAAGGGAGCAGGTCGGAGGTGCCACCCACAGGCTCGTCCTTCCCAGAGGAGGGGCAGCAGTTGGATCTGTGGAGAGACCTAGGCTGGAGGAGTGTGAAAGCCCCATGTGTCAGGGACCCCTCCCCAGCAAGAGTAAAAGGGGGTGCAGCTAATAGCAAAAGCTGAATAGGACACACGTCTTGCAAGTCCTCTACTCCAAAGGCAAAACTGTTAGGTTAGTGTTCTTAAAGATCAGATCATGCTAACATTTTGTTTTCTTTGCACTTTTTTTTTTGGTTAAAAGAGCTTTAATTTACTAAAATAGTTTAAATGTAACAGCACTCCAGAATCTTAGCCATTTAATGTGTTTTCAGCTGTGTGTTTTTCTTTTCTCTCTCTCCTCCTCTGTGTGTTCAATTTGTAACAACTTTTTGCTCTCTTCTAAGAACTTAATAGGCAGGAATCAATTTGTAATGAAAAATTTTGCACCTTCTTCTTTGCCTCTTGTAATGGTGCAGAGCGGTCCCCTTGCTTCCTGCTGTTGGTGTTTAAACACCCTGGAAGGACTCGCTTTTCTTAGCGGCTGTGTGCCTGTTTTTGCACCTGTTCGTGGCAGCTCTTCCTGTGTCACATGTGCCCCTGCACTTAAAAATAGTTTGTTTCACTTGCTCCATCAGGGTTCTTTAGCTTGAAGTAAGGCTTTTAAATATCAAACCAAATCTTTATTTGTGGGGCTGCATTTACCAACAGGAGTCAATGCACAGACTTAAATGTTGCTCTTGGATGGCAGTAAAGGAAAGGGCATGGCTGAGGTGCTGATGTAAATGGGTGCAGGTTAAGACTACCTTGCTTGAAGTATTTCTTTTCTCCCTTCCCCACTCTGCACTATGCTTTACATTTAGATGAGAGGGGTGTTTGTTTGTGGTTATGTGGCCAAAACCTGCTGGGAAGGGGCCGGGGGCCGGGACAGGCACCTTCTCTGCTTTGGGGGAATTCGTTGACCCTGGGCACCTCCTAGGACTGACAGAAATGCACAGAGAGGCATTCTGAGGCAGCCCGTAACTGACCAGAGAGAGGCCTAAGGAGCATGTTGGAGAAGTTAGCACAAGACACCAAGGATGGTCTAGCTGGCATAATTACCAAAAATACTTCTAAAAGCTTCCTTCTGTAAAGCAGAAGGAAGTGGAGGTAGCAGTTTCAAAGAGCTACAGTGACTTCTGCTGGAGAGGCTCTCAAGTAGTCCCCCTCCCCGCCTCCAGTTCCCTTACCATGTTGGTGATCATGTTGCCAAAGAAAATTATCCACCTGACAACAGGAGGATTTTTAAAAATCTCCAGTTCCCCCTCTGCTTTTTTTGACTTAAATGCTCTATGGGAGCATAGTGCAAGCAAGTAAGGATGCTCAGGGAGTGCTAGGAATTGGTGCATAATCCAGTGGAAAAATAGGAAACGAAACTAAAGCCCAGCAGAGAAAATGCGTTGTAACCTCCCTGAACCTGATCTACTGAATGTGCTGGTTCGTCCTTCACTAAAGTCTCCTCAGCCACTACAAAAATTCTGTGCAGAACAGATGTGGCAAATTCTGCTAAGTAAGTGCTGCATGAGGCACTGAATAGCAATTCCAGCTAGGACTTTTCTTTTCCTTAAAATTACAAGGAGTAGAAGTGAAGCATTTGTCTGGATTGCAAATGTGTTACAGCAACCAGAGGATCTATAACATAGTGACAGGAAGACACTGTAGAACTTAATTAGGTAGTTTTTTTTTATTATGATTATCTAAGTTACTTAACGATGTAGTTGTCTTGCACACTGTCATGGGGACTCACAGCCGAACACCCCATGGAAGCCTTTGAGTGACGAGCGCCTCTGAGGGTTCCGGCCCGTGTGCTTGAAGCAGCCCTGGCTTCAGCCTTCCTGGGATCCACTGCTGTCACTTGTTTTTCTTACCCTTAAAGAATGTTTTTAATGTCAGGGGGTTGTCCCTTCATTGAAATTATGCTCTTTAAAACAGGTCTGTATTTCCAATGAAAAGTCTACTCATAGCAGTCAGACAGTCCTGATGTTCAAAGAAAGAGTCTAAGTGCTAGAGTGACTGGCTTGGGGTGTTCCTCAAGGGCTCTTCTAGAAAATGAATGCTGGTGTTTAAATTTTAAAAGTAAATTGTTTCTTGGCATGCACAGTTACTGTGAGGATCTATTTACAGTGCCTTTTAAGTTAAAGATCTTCTAGGAAACTTGGTGTTTAATGTGCGAAGTACTCGAGGGAACTTTCCTTCCCCTTGCCCTGGTTAGGCTAGAGCAAGACCAGCACCGAAAGCCATCTCTGTGTTGAGGACAAGGTTGATGATCAAGGGAGCCTGAATTGAGTAAGATGCAATTCTTGTCTTTAAGAACAGGAATGGGTTTAACATGCCCCTTTACTTGCCTACTCAAATGTTAAAGGTAACTTTTGCAGTCGTCATTTCATATTTCTATTTAGTTCTTAATGCCCGAAGCACAGTCAAGCGCTCCATTGTGCTGCAAGCACTGAGGCCACGGCATTTGCACTTTTACTCTCACCTGACCTTATGCTGCAAGATGCAGGAATTGGCAACGGTTGGTGCCTTGATGGTTTTTAATTAGTTTGCATAAAAGCTCAGAGCACTTGCTGCACGTCCTGCTGCACAGTGACAGTTTAGTTTTCATTCTGCTTGGTGTGGGTTTACATTGTACTGTATAATGTGAAATTCAATAGACACTTGTTTTTTTGAATGTAATAAATTCTTAATGGGAAAAGGTACTTCGGTTCCTTTTTCTAAATAAAGTTTCCTTTTATTTTTGAAGGCAATTCTGGATTTCTACATTTAATACCGGGGTTGCTTAGACTAAGGGCAGTCAAAATGGGTCCTGTCTGTGCCGGGCGGGAGGCCTCCAAGAATGGAGCACGAGGCTATAGATCATGAAGCACCAGTCGGACCCTGAACGACAAAATTCTGAAACCAAATTTGACCCCGGCTGTTTGTGCTGCTGATTTTCAGTGTGCCAAGGGAGGGAGACAAAGACCAACTGCTGCTGTGAGTCAAAAAAAAAAATTCATATATATTTTTACCATATCATTTTATTCAACTTTAATATGGTTTCCATTATTAACTTCTAAAACAAAATGATTTCCAGTTTAGAAAACAATGCACTGACCACATAATTCCTTTTCCATTTTATACAGTTATACAAATATTCTAAATACACATTTTGTCAAGATGGTGGCAAATAAGATTTAACTGTACAGTACATAAGGAAAGAAAATATTTTAAGCATATTTAGAAGCAATAGAAATGTCTATACAAAACAAGCAAAATGGAATAAAATTTTATATTTAAAGTATTGCAACAGTCCCACAGGTTTGTAACAAAAAAATGTCTTTGCACAGTTCCTCACAATGCCCCATTAATAGCTAAAGCAAGACAGCAATTTTTAGAAAATGATGTTTCAAAATGCTACACATGATACTACTGTTTGCACAGTCTGATCAAAATAACAATCTACTTGGAATCAAGCAAAACTGAGGAGGAGATTTACCAACAAACTTTAAAATTATCTGTATAAAAGTCATTGCACATTATTTTACTCAGTTGTTTGAAAAGTAAAAAAGTGTATTTACAAAGTATTTCGCAGACAAAATTATAAAGTGAATGGATAATATATAAGTAACACGTCTTGATACTGACAGTCCAAGAACACACACTAATGGTTTTATCGTCTCGAGAGGTTTTCAGTGCTCCTTCCTCAGGGAAGTAAACTCGACTTCTACTTTGAAATGGATTTACAAGATGTTACACAGAGCTATTTCAACATCAGCATTATAAAACAGTATGTTAGAAACGAGAAAGAAAGAAGGAATTTGTACATCTTAAAAAGTGAGCTATTCATAGATCAACAAATGCATTTTTCTTTTTTAATTTAGTTAGGATAAATGTTCATATTCTTCAGATAATAAACCCAACAGTTAAAATGGAAATCCTGGCCTAGATGAGAATTGAGAAAGCACCATGCACAATCATCTTAGTGTGGTAAACACTGAAAAAAAAAATAGCACCTGGGATCCTGTGACACAGATCTCCTAAAACTGGTCAAGTAGCTGGCGGAGATAGGGCGCCTTGGAGAGCTCTCTGCTGACCCGGGACAGCTTGAACAGCACGGGGCAGTTCAGGGAGACACACGGGATGTGCCGCTCAAAGCAGCCCGTGCAGTTCTTGCATATCTGCAGCACAAGGGAAAGAAAAGCAAAACGTGCTCTTTTTAACACAGAGCAGGTGAACCCTGACCAGCCGTGCGAACATCACTGAGTCCCTCCAAGGTTCCCAGAGGGGCAGCCCCAGGGAGCCCCTCCATAGACAGGCGCCGGGGTTCCAGGCAGAGCTGCAGGCAGGGCTGGCGCCTCCGTCGTCACAGGCTCTGCAGTGGCCACACGCTCATTCACGAACCTGCTCACTTGGACTGCTTGCAAGGAGTTTTGATGAGAGACACCTGGGCAGGCGCAGGGTCTCCAAATGCAGCCGCACCGTCATTAACATTAGTTAAACAGAAGCCCCTGCCTTGCTCTTTTATTTTTAATCTTTTCCAGTACCTGCTTGTCCCAACAGTCTTTCCAAAAGCTCATAACTCTACTTCCAACCACATTCCTGTTTTTTCTTTGCAACATCCAAGTTTTAACCTCTCCTGCTGCTCTCATTTGCCTGGTTTCAAGAACATCAAAATCATACCGATGTTCCCCTCATTCCTTCTGAATTAATTGTTTTCCTGGGTCAGAACTACCTGGGCACCTGCAACCCTCAGCCACTAGAAGAACCTCAGAAATCACAAGGCACCCTTGTTCTTTCTGAAGAGGTTGTAGCTGGTTTAAATGCAATGAAACCAAACTACAACTTGAGACTTTTTGTTGAAGTTCAATTTGTGTATAGAGAGGAAGCCTATGGCCTTAATACGGGGCAAACACTCTCTAAGCCAAGCTTTGAAACACTGGATGATTTAATGGCACTCAACTGGCTGATCAGTCTTGTGCTGCCTCTGGCATGTTTGAAATTTCAGAGAGCCACGAACTTAAGCTATGAAGGATCCGTAGACTGTCACACGCTCTCACAGAGGGGCTGAGTACTCATACACAGGCTAAAACTGAATCCCAGGCCTGGCCAAGCTGCTGCGTTTTTGAAGAGACAAGGGAATGCTGTGATCAAAGCCGCTAATCCTTTCGTGGCGCTAGACCAATCTGCCAGATATGGCCCAGTTCCAGAACAAAAACCACGTGCAGGGTTTTGAGCACCACAGGAAAACTGCAGAGTGTTCGTCACTTCCTCCTACTGCCAGTCACAGTGGAGGTGAGAGCAAGAAAATACAGTTCAAATCTCAGTAATAGAATATTTATGAATTGTGAATTATGGTGGTTTTCTAGCAACAGAGCCCCACGGGAGCACAGCTAATCAATGCCTGGGCGACACGAGCATTTATATTCCTGCAGCTCGGGCAAGTCTCTGAACTGTTGCAGTGCTAGTGCTAAAAATCAATGCTCACAAAAAACATTTATTAATTATAAAACACTAGAGAACCCGGACTCGGTGTGGCTGCGCATGCGCGTGGTGAGACTCTGCCTTGTGCAATGTCTTCACGAGCAGCTGCCTTCCCCGCTACCCTCTTAATTGACTCCTAGCTCAAGGGAGAAAAACAATTTGGAAAATTCCTATCAAGAGCAATTGGAACAAAAAACCAATTAATTTCCCGGGACAAACATGCTTTGTTGCTACTAAACTAGAACATCAGCAGTCATTTTAATACAACAAAGGTGGGGTTTTTCAGGGCATTTCTATAACTTTCCATCATCCCCATTATATAAAGGAACCTACAAAGCCAACCAGATGCTTTCAAGGGAGGAAAAAAGAAAGAGAAAGGCTTCCTTTGTTGTGATTTTTTTCCTCCCTTTGGCTTCAACGTTTTGGCCTGGGGTGCCGGCTCTGCCTACCTTGCTGAGTTGCTCCTGCTTGCGCTCCAGCTCGCGGATCTCCTGCTGGAGGATGACGGCGACGTGCTGGGGCTGGCTGCGGCAGCGCGCGCACACGCCGAGCTGCGTCAGCTCCTCGCACACGGGGCACTGCAGCGTGGGGAAGTACTGCGAGATGGTGCCTTTGCGGCCCTCCCGCTCGCCGTGCGCAGCGCAGGCGGCTCTCTGAATCTGTGGGAAGAAGCGCAGAGGTGAGAGGAGCAGCCGGAGCGCGGCTCGCTCTATTCCTCCATCACAGGGCTGAGCTGTTCTCAGGAATGAGGAGGCCAAAGAGCCTGCAGGGCGGGGGCTTATTCAGGGATCACTGAATGAAACGCCAAACCCACACACGAACTGCAGCCTGTTTCACAGCAAAGCTCGCAGGAGCGAGCAGCAAACGGAGACATTTTTCAATGTCTTTTTTGTCAGTGGCACTGTAAGCTAAAATCCAGTTAACGTTTCTCCTCCTGCACCTCATCACGGACTTTTCTTAACTTTTGGAAATAGCTACTTCAAAACCCCTGGTAATATTAATCAAAGTGCTCCTGTTGCTCAGGCACTGTTACCCGCTTTGTGAAGGTGAAGTATCTTTGGAACATCTTAGAAAAACAGGAATTCTGGCATCTACTACTAAAAAGAAATTTGAAAGGTGATATACTTAAAAGGTGATATAGCTAGAGGGACACACCTATGAGTACTGCTAAAAATGAAGAGTTACAACAAAATCCTCTTGGGAACTGTGGAAGGGGTCAGAAAACAGACACTGATAATGTGGCTAAGCCCAACCCCGACCAGACTGGTCAGCAGGGAAAAAAAGTATTTAATAAACAAAGAAACCACCCAAAAGAACTAATGATTTAAGCCTGCGAGTTGAGGCAGGTGCCTTGTAAAATAAATAACCTGCGCTGCTCCCTCACATAAACCTCATTCTACTAAACAGCACGAGGCACCAGACCCCATAATACATATGCAGGGGTTTGGCAGGTCGCTGGTCCTTAGGCTCACTCACCCTGGGCAATTCGTGGTACCAGCTGAAGACATCGATGCCGATGAGGGAGAATATCCTGGCGAGCGGTGGCAGGATCTGCTTGGTGATGTAGTAGGTGGCGTTGAGGCGCAGGTTGGGGTCCTGCAGCACCTCGACAGGCCGCCCACCTGTGCAGCAGGGAGGAGCGGGTCCCCCTCGCGACGCACAGGGCCGGGCTGTGCTAGCCTGGCTCACTGTCGCACCCTGGGACGAGCCCGAAAGCTGCATCCCACTGCAGGCCGCTCAGTTTTGCGGCATGGGCTGCTTTCTGGCTGCCTCTTCCTTACGGGAGCATCCTACTGTGGAGCAGCCACCCCGCTGGGGGGAACTCAGGTGCCCAGAAAGCAAAGGGCTCTGCTCAGTTAGAAGCAGAGCTCAATCTAGGACATCACTTTTCTTTTATTAGAAAAACTGCAGCTTAATTTGAAGATTGTTGTATTAGGCAAGGTGAGACCGGCCAACTGTGCCAGCTCGCATTGTCTGTTGGTGACAAGTAACAACAAAAACTACTAACAGGGTGAACATTGCTACTACTACTAACAGGGTGAAAATATGACAGGCACCACCAGCACTATTTCCTTCTTTGAAATGTCTAGTAGCCAGGAGCCCTTGTCCATAGCCCAAGCCGCAGAGAGCAGCAGCCAGCTCTCTGCTCCCTGCCCTCGCTCTGCAGCATGGGTGGCTCTTGCCAGGGCCATGAAACCACCCCAGCACCATGCGATGTGCCCAGTTTATTTCCACTTGCTGCTGACGTAGTTTGGAAGACAACCCTGCGCTGGTGCCTAATGGGGCAGCACAGAGGCCAAGGGACAAGCCCAGAGTTTTGCCCTTCCCACTGCCCGTACCTGGTGATTTCCAGGGCTGGCACGCAGGATCCCGGCTTGTACGCAGAGCTCCCTCGGTATTCCTTGGCAAAGATGAAGTCCTGCATGCTGGCTTTTCCTTCAAGTAACTTCATGCACTGATTCTGAACGTACTGCTTGATCTGACTTATGTCACGAGTTTCAAATAGCAGCTTGATTGAACACTCAAGTATCTTTAAAACCAAAGCAGGAAAGTGAGCAAAACATTTAACTCAAAATCAGTAATTCCATACAGTTCACTGAATATATTCATATGCATTTTATATAACCATATTCCATATAATTCACTGAAATATTTATATGCTGTTTACAAAAAACTATGAAATCTGAACTAGAATGTTCCTGTGACACAACTCAATTCACTTCACACGTTACTGGAACACCTTATTCTCAGTTTGACATAAACAGAGCTCTACAGCTCACACATTTTCCTCTCATGGCAGATCTTTTTCTAAGGAAAGAGTTATGTGTTATTAAGAGTAACTTAAAAATATGAGAATTAAGAAAAATATTTCTGGGATAGTGGACAGTATCAAAGAAATCAATGTAATCCTAATTTCAATCAAGTCAGCTTTCTGATATTTCATATCTTACATTATCCACGCCCAAACTCAGAGATTGTTTCAATTTCTCTACAGAGTAAGAAAGAAAACATCTTCTCCTGTCATTTGAAGTGTTTTGTCACGATTTTCTAGATATGACCAAAAAAAAAAAAAAAAAAAAGGATTTACTTCCTTTTTAGACGCTATTTTTTCATTGAGATGGCTAGAAAAGGTTCTTGTTAGTCAGATTTATCCCAGTAACAAAAGTACCCGCTTAGGAGGATTTACTTCTTTTTTAAACCCTAAGTGGGTACTTTTGTTACTGGGATAAATCTGACTAACAAGAACCTTTTAAACAGGCCTCACCTGCTGCACATGCTACATGTAAGGTGGGCTTGATGAAGGACAGTCTTCTTGTGAAGCGACAGAGCTACAAGCACACCACGACCCAGCAGCAGCGTGCTGTATTCTTACTCAGGAAGAAACACATGAGTGTTTTACCTTGGAAACAGCAGGGCAGGAGTCTCTTCGGACTGTCTCTATGCCTTTTGCATCAAATACTGGGTCCTTTTGGTCCAGTGTTTCATACATGTAGCCCACATACCTCTTCTTAGTCTGCAGGACACACGGCAAGTAGACCTGGAATGTTTAAAAAGAAGATAACCCAAACTAACACGTGCTGGGAATATCAAGTGGCTCTGAACACAGAGGGTGTTTTTATAAAGAATACTTTGTTTTCTAAAATCATTAAAGCCAATAAAATAGATCACAGTAATGTTAACGGGTAGCTGAAGAAGTGGGGATTCAGCAGTGTTCTGTTCTTAAATCACTTTATTTCACTTAGTTGTAATGGATAAGCAACTGAAAGCTCAGATTAAAAGTGACACAGAGGGTAATTCATTTTGAGCATCCTTACTCTTCTGGACTGCAACTGTCAGCATTTTCAATGTAACTGCACTCTCCCTCTCTTAAAAGAAAAGTTCATTTTAAGCATCAGAGAATAAAAAAACTTTCTCAGCAGAAATAGTGGCTTTTGAACCTCCTATTTTCAAACGACCTAATTATGGGGTGGCCTAAAATCAGCTGCCATCCTCCCCTGGAGAAAGCAGGTCCTTTGGATGGCTGTGCTTGGAGATCACCTCCCTCAGCGCCGCACGCTCTCTCTGCTGCTCTCTCCAACCTCTTCTTTCATTCATGGTCTCCCTGGCATTCCTTGACCAGCTTTCAAGGCAAGAACAGGAAACAGTCTTCCCAACACCAGTGGGATTATCCGCCTCTTCCCGCCCCCTCACAGGAAGGGGAAGCGGCAGGTTCGCACTGGAAGTGGGTGTCCCACTTCCTGAGTGGGGGCTCCGTTCTTGGAGCACAGGCAGGTGAGGGCTCTTGAAGGGAAGCGCTCGGACGTGCTGAAGCACATGTTGGTGCCTGGTGTTTTTCCCAACTAATTCTTCCTCCATCTTAACGACACAATTACCTTGGAGAAGCGGGAAGGGTCACAGAATCACAGAACGGCTGAGGCTGCAAGGGACGTCTAGAGATCACCTAGTCCAAACCCCCTTCTCCAGCAGGGACACCCAGAGCACGTGGCACAGGGTGGCATCCAGGTGGGTTTGGAAGATCTCCAGAGAAGGAGACTCCACAGCCTCTCTGGGCTGCCTGTTCCAGCGCTCTGTCACCCTCACAGCAAAGAGGTTCTTCCTCACATGGAGGTGGACCCTGTACGTCAGTCCATGAGGAAAGGCAGCTGTGTCTTCCACAAGCACCCTGCCTTCCCTTGCTGTTACTTTTCTGCTATGTTCTCAGGGAAAACAGGCAGATTGCTCACCAACTGATTCCACACGCATGAATCGGGATGTGCTCTGCAATGCCGAGAGCACCTGAGCTGACTGCTAATCATCTTCCAGCGACAAACTTCCATCACCTGCCTCCTCTACCCAAGTCTCCATGTCATTCATATTGGTTTCAAGAACCTATCAGAGGGACGTCTTTTCATTTTATATGTATATGTATCCCCTGGACATGCAAAGCGTGCAACGCCAGGGTTGCAGGGACTTCCAGCACGCCAAGGCATGTTTGATTTGAACATATGCACAACCCAAAACCGCGAGAGACGGATTCAGACCCCGATGAGCAGGGCAGTTCACGCTGTCTAGGGCTGCCAGCACTATGGCTCCGAGGGCATCCTGACACACATGCAAGTGACAACAGCCCCTTCTGTTCATCCCACAACGGCCCTCTGGCAAGGCTGGCCCTTACGGCGCTATGGAGGAGCCGCCTGCATGGCGGACAGGCTTCCTGACTCTTGCATCTTTCATCTTCACATTTGTTTGGGACATTTTCCCTCGGCAAACTTCAAGTGAAATGTTTTCCTTTTACCTTCTCAAACTTCAGTTTTACAGGTTTAGGGTTTGTCGCTGTTACAGCTTCAGCAATTTCTTGACCAATCTTAAAAGACTGCTCCTTTGTTGCTCCTTTCAACAGTACAAACATGCTAAAAGAAATGAGACATAAGAAGTAAGAACAAATCTGTTCAGCACAGCTCCAGAAATTTTAAGGTACAGTTTCCTGATGACTAGGAAAAGATACATATCATTTTGTTTCCTTCCTATACAAAAGGCCCAAAACCTGAGAAACTACAACGTTCAACATGAGATCAGGAGTGACAAAGGCAAAGTGGACACGCTCTGGCAAGGCAGGAAACGTGACCCTTCTGGGCACTGAAAAATTTCAGGGTTTGCATCTTACTATAACAAGAACCTGCTCTTGGTCTGGTCAGTGCACTGCAACCTGGGGGCACTGCCTCGTGCTTCCCACAGGGGCAGCCATTGGATTTGTCCATGCTTTTCTTTTGATTTTTCTCTCATTGAACTGTAATGATTTTAGTATCTTTGAAACTTTATAGTGTCTCAGTGAATTTGTCTAAAATTGGCGACTGGATTCACAAGCTATTACAGAGGGACAAGCAGACGGAGAACTCGCGTTCCTTCACCGGCTTTGCTTCCCACAACCTAAAGTGAGGCAAGGCCAGGACCACAGACGGATATGCAGGATGGATATGAAGGGCTACTATTAAGATCAAGGATTGACTGGGAGATATAATGTATTTTAGGCATCCAAATCTCATCTTCGGATGGTGGCTGCTTGTGAATGGATCCACTTTTAAAGCTTAAAATAAAATTGGAAGCATTCCTTTAAGTATTAACATGCAATGTCTACTGAATTATATAAATATTTTACTTTCCAAAATAAAAATGGTATCAGAGACAGACACAAAAACTGTTGCTCAGTAAAGAAGCGTTATATTACCTCACACATGAGAAGAATAAGTTTTTATCCTCTCTTCTTCCTATTTCTCATAATTTACAAAGAAAACCTCAAAAGCCTTTTTACTCTCAAAGCACTTTCTTAGCGTCCTAAAAGAAACTATGGGAGAATAAATGGGATTTACTCTGCAAGACAGTAAGCAGCACCCAAAAAGGGACATTATGCTCTGTTCTGTATCACTTGTCTGGTTTCAAAAACCCATGACTAACAATTCTGGGGTAATGAAAACCACACAACTCAATTCCTGACGATTCCTGCCTTTCCAGACAACTGACAAGCTGAAATCCATCTTACATGAGCAGCACAGAGTAGCAGAGTACCAAATGAGAAGATACATTATTAAAGAGACGGAAAGAACAGCAATCTGATTTCTTAGCAGAGGAAGTTGAAAAGCTAATGCTGCATTAGGCAAAGCAGCCTGGTGAATGTTACTGGGCTCATGCTCAGTACCCCACGAACAGGAGATTAATTGGATAAAAATGCTGAGCTGTCAAAGTTTCACATAAGGAAATTCTCCTTCCTACTTGCTCTGAATTATCACAGTGCTCCTGCCTGCTAAACTGGCCTGCAATATTCCAAGTAACACAGCAATATTCCAAGAAACACGGCAGTACTCCAAAAGGGAGCAGCATGAAGCGCAGCCGACAGCTCCGACCAGGGTCTTGGGGGGAGACTGGGACAGAGCTCAGAGCCTCCCAGCAGTGGTGGAGCTGGGAAAGGGCCCATCCCTGCACAAACCGCACAGAGGAAGTCTAGATCCAGCCTGGAAAACCAGGAGGAACTTTGTAATAGGTCCTAGCTATGCAAGAGGACGAGGACATCCCCGTCCCACCTAGAGAGACAACAGAAAAATGTACCTATGGGGACCTCCTATAGCTGTGCTGATTACCTGTCAGTGTCGCCGTACACAACGTGCGCGCCCCATTTCTTCGTGTCGTTCACCAGCTTTATGGCACGCTCCAAGGTTTCCCTGGCTTTGTGCACAATGCTGTCGCCCAGCTGCAAGAACCAACACAAACAGTGCATTTGTACTCTACTGCTAAAAGCACTGCTAGCTCTTAGTAAGCATGGCTTGACCCTGCCTTCATCTATGAAAGATCACTGTTTTGAAAGTACTACCTTTTGAAGTCACCTACTTCATGGTTTAAAAGAATTACAGAAAAAAGTTTGCTTACATCACCCAAAAACTTAAGTCAAGGACTTAGGAAAGAGCAAACGAAAATCACAGAAATTAAAAAAATCAACAACTTTCTTTAGATTTCTTCAGATATATGAAAAATACAAGCAGCAAGAGAAGATTGCTTAGGAATGTTTTCACAAACTCTAAATATTTTTACAGGGGAAGAAGAAAAAAAATATTTTTTAAGGATCACAAATCTCAAATGACTGATTTCCAGTACTACAAATAACACCCCCTGTTTTTATGAGGGCATTTAGACTAAATGCATTTCACATAATCACGCGGCGTTATCTGATTATCCTTAATCACCTCCTTTCCACACGTTTCCCCTACCTGTTTAGCTGCACCTCTTACCTCAACACATGGCATTCTCCCAGAAAAATTAGCAGCAGTGTAACCAAACGTGACGTTTGCGATGAATTTCAGCCCCAGCTGGCGAGCCTCGAGCATGCGGGTTATGGCTTTGTCGTGCTTATACGCCTTCATGGACTGCTTCACCATGATCCTCGTCTTCAAGATTTCTTCTAGCATTCTTGGCAGCACACCCTTTCTTATTGAGGGCTGCCAAAGAAGAAAAAAAAAGAAAGGAACAAAGGAAAAAATTACGGTAAAAAGACCAATCTAAACAGTTAAGAGAAGAAGCAAATCCAGAGCTGTTAGATAAGCACTGATAAGAACATAAATTAATCAGCAAGGTGCCTTAGGCACCAATGTTCTGGCTCGTCACAAAAATATTAAAAGCAATCAGGAATACAGACAAAGCTCTTAAGAAGAGGGTAATTTCTGTTGTTGTTGTTGTTTTAATCATCCCTGCCAATGTAATATGTTTAGATAGCTGCATTAATTACAAGGGTACTTCAGCATTTAACACTTATTAATTCTTCACATGTTAAATACTAGAGGAATACTATCTTTTAAAAATTCTGCTGGCATTTTCTATCCAAAGCTTTTCCCTTGCATTAAATATGTGTGTGCTGGTGAGTGGCTAATTACTCATAAGAGCTCCAGGCCACGTTTATTATTTCACTATAAATCAGCCGCAGTTCACATAACATAAAATGAGCACAGCAGAAGGCAAGTTAGGGAGTTTCTTCTCCCAAACCATGGCCCTTTTCCTAGGAAAGCAGCCTGCTAAGCAGCTACAGAAGAATAAAGTGTTACAGTCAGAGAATTACTGTGTGATCCCCAAACTGTGCAAGTAAAATACAGTTTAATTTTAGATGAAATGAGTCCTCAGTATAAGTAAAAGCAAAAGAAGACGTTCTACTTCCTGAACCGCCAGAAAGTTCAGCATTCTGAAGAGTATCAACAAACATTGAGAAATGAGAGCTGAACCTCCCCCTTCAAGCCCTTTTGTCTGTTCTTGACTCAGCAAAATATCACAGCACGTTAACCTCATTACCTTGACAAAAGCCACCCCGCTGGGTGACACGGTGATATCGTGCCTGATCTGGTACAGCAAGTCAGGGGGTACTCGAAGTGATGTACAGCCAAATTTGAACTCATCGTATCTAATAAAGAAAGGGATTAAACAGGCAGAGAATTCATTCGTCTACAGCCTGATCCCAGGCTTACAGCAAAAGCATCAGCTCACAATGAAACACTGGAAATGCCAACAAGAATGGTCTCAAAATTACTACCTGCAGGACAAATAAACCGACCGTCACTTATAATTTCTTTGCTCTACGCAAAATGCTCCAGTGATACATGGGTAAAATCAACAGAAAGTAAATTATCTGTTCTGCATTATTGATTACTAGCAAATGCAGAGCTAGTGATGCAGCACACGACCATTCCATAACCCAACACGGAAACCTGGCTCGTTCACTCAGTAACCTATTACAGAGAGTCTCTTGCCACATATTAAAATTTCAAGTCAAAAACTTGAAAATCTGATGGTGACACCTATCAATCTTTGCACATAGCTTCCAATTTTTCCATGTATTGTTTATAAATGTAATTATAATGAGCAGTGAGATTTTTGTTCTTTTGTTTTCAATTTAAAAAATATCATTATGCCTATTAAGATGTGCTATAAAGAATAATTCATTTCAGCTTTTCATTTTGAATAGAGAAGAGTGAACCAAAACTCTTAGAAGAAAATAATCAATTCATTGACATATAGAAGAATAATTCTAGTCCAGCTTGGAAAATGGGTAGCGGATTTATGCAACTTTAACCTCATTTTCAAACAGTATTAAAAATTAATGTCACTACAGTGATGGAAAATGCATGCACTCATCCAAGGCACACACGATGCACAGGCATACAGAGCTCAGCTTTTTAACAGAGCAGAACATGGGATTCCTAACTGTGTATTTAAAAATATACATACACTGGCATATATAAATACATATATGTACAAGTGTGCACATGGCAAATCTTTAGTATGTATTTTCTAACAAAAAATTGGCACTATTTATCTATGTTCTTTGTTTCCACTGTCAGCTGAGAGTTGAGTATCTGCAGTTAAGACACTCAAGTCTCTGCAGAATCGAAGTTTGCAAAAAAAAGAAAAATAACTTACTTTCCCAAGTTTTCAACATGTCCCAGGCAAGTTGAGAAGCAGTAGTTGTAGGCTATCACGATAGAAGGGTATAAGGACTGGAAATCTAGTACAAGAACAGCATTGCTGTAAAAACGGGATTCTGGCTCCATGATTAAGGGAACACATTGGGGACTTTTCATATGAGCTCGCTGCTGGATACTGGGTGTCACAGGAATAAAATTCATTGGCTTGGCAATACGCAGCATCATCGACTCCACACGATACTGCAAAACACAGTTGGGATACAGTCATTCTAATTAGCATTTTAAAATGCAGCATAAATGTTGGTGTATTAAAACTGAAGGAATATGCACTGTATGTCTGAATTTAAAGCTCAGAGCACTAATCTTCCAAAACATATAGCCATTCCCTTACTTTTAATGAATACTCTCCATCACATACAACGGAAATGCTCCTCATCTTTCTGCGTCATTTAGTCCTAATTATTGAAAAATTAGTACTTCTGGTTTATATGTATGTGTAAAATAAATATGCAGGTCAGTATATAACGTGCACCAAGACATACTACTATACTACAGCCAGTGAATAAGTATTTGCTGAACCAAGATTTTGCATTTTATCATTTTCCATATGAATTTGCAGTGTTTTTTTTTATTTTTTTTGTCAATATTTAAGAAAACCGAGGAACAGAGGACATAATAGTCACCTAAGTTATTGTGTCCTACAACATTTTGGTCAGGAGGGCACGGAGCTGCTCAGGGAGAAAAGCTGGGCAACATTCAGTTCTTAACCATACGACTAAGACACCAGGGGGCTACAAGTATCCCATGTTGGATTGGTTTAGGCTGCTCTGGAGGGGCATCCCAAGACAGCTTAGTCAAAACAAATAATTGAATATCACCTGGATAATTAGAAAATAGTAATAGAAAAGTTGCCTTAAAAAAATTAACAGAAAATATAAAAAAGGGAAAAAGGACAAGAAAATCAGTGAAAATATCTGAAATCTTCTCAGTACTATTCTATCTTAACATCTTTACCAGAAAAGGAGAGCAGGAACATCTTCAAAAATGCAGGAATCATTCTTCTGAGCGCAAAAATGAATTATCTGAGGCGACTGCGAATGGCTGCAGCTGCCGTGCTGGTGGTCTTTAGGAGTTTCAACGAAAGCAAAACATATGTGCGCAGGAAGGAAAAGAGCCGTCAGGCGAGAGATGCTCCGGCTGCTCCCTCCCACTCGCAGCCATCTGAGGAGGAGGCAGGAGGAGGCAGGCGGAGCTGAGCAGAGCTGAGCACAGGGGCGCTGAGCACGTGGGGCCGCGATGCCCATGCGGGGCCGCGATGCCGCCCACGCTTTGGGCAGAGCGGCGCGGGGAGGACGCCAGGCCCAGCCTCACGCTGTCCCTCATGGAGAATTCCCCTCCTCCCTGCTTCCAACAGCGGGGCCTCTTCTGTAACACGTTGTGCCGGGCCAGGGAGCCGGCCTGGCCTAGAGCTACTCAGCTGCCTGTTGCACCACCCCCTGAAGGAAGGAAAGGGCTTCCATGAAGCCCCTTTATGCTATCCCCCATCAGAGATAAGAGTATATAGAGAATATATGCTGTCTACAAGAAGAGAGCATCCTCAAAGGTCTCTATTAAGAATCCACGCTGAGGGAGAAATACCACATTTTCTCACTGTCTTACCCAGCAAGGCTGCCTTACTGCTGGTGCTTTGGTTTTGGTCCGTTCTTTTGCTTCCCAAAAAGGTATTTTGGCACAGTCTTGTGGTGACATCAAGAAGTCTTTTTGTCTGTTTTTGCTGACTTTCACTCAAAAAAATACCATGCCACGCACCAACCCGAACAGCCTACAATGTGAGATGCAGAGTAGCCCCACAGACACATCTTGGCCTTAACGGCACCGTTAACGTGCACATGATGAAGCCAGCGTCCTTCTTGATGCAGGCTAAAGTCTCGCCCAAATGTTTGCTTCACGAGAAATGTCAGTCAGAACAGACTCTATTCAGCTTTGCCTATCACTGAACAAAATAGTCTACTTTTTCCCCAAACATGTTTGACTATTTTTCTCAATGTCAAAATAAGTAATAAAGGTTAATTTTCAGACTCTGATTGAAGTGTGAAAAATATCAACCTGAAAGGAAAATTCACTGCTTCTGAAGAGACTTAATGGAATGACTGAATTTAGGACACTCTTAATTATTTTTTGTCTGATATACTTCTATGACAATTTATTCAATCCATTATTACTGATTTTGGATTGTCTGACCTTATTTACATTTCAATTTCATGTTATGAAGCACTGTCCTCTGTGACCTTACAAAAATACACATACTGGTTGAAAATATACTGAAGGACAAAAAGATTTTTTTAAGACTATTTTGCTTTTGGAAAGCGTAAGGAAAATGAAGTCTCACCTGGGAACCTCTTGTTAATACATGTAAGAACTGAATGCCAAAAAGTCTTGCCATTTCACTTGTTCTGCCAATCAAATCCAATGTTTCTAACAACTGGAGATTCCCACGGACCCGGCTAATATAATGATCAACCATTTTCCATCTGTGAAAGCAAACACTTAGTTATAAACAGCCAGAAGAGTGTTGCTCTTTCTCCTAAGAAAAATGCATTTTTATGATAGCTTCTTACAGACCAGCAAATGTAATTTCCCATAGGACATTTTCATATGGTTCTTTCAAAAATGTGACATACATAAACATACACTTACATACGCTAAGACAGATACAAAATGTGACATACTATATGCTGTAAGTTTGCATTACTGCCCTATGGGATTAGTAAAACAGAAACTAGAGTTTTTCTTCATCTGATTAAATGTTTCTTTAACTGAGAGGATTTTTGTGGAAGCAATCGTCCATATTAAAAAAAGCAAAATGTAAATTCATGATCTCAGCACTAAATTACATTTCCATCCCTGCCAGAAGTATTTAAGTTTTAAAGAAATTACAGTTGTATGCCATGATCAGTAGTCTCATAGTGTTATGAACTGATCATAATCACACAATACCAAAATGTTCTATGGAAGACTAAAGCTCAGCATGATACATGCTGGGTGTGTGTATATAAGTGTAAGATTTTGCATATAGTTTTGCACTGTACTTAAAGCTTAACTTCGTTGCAAGGTAGGAAACAAAACAGAAACTAACACTTCATTAGACGCCCTTCAGATGAATTATATACAAACTATCGACCTTACAGAACTCAATATAGTACTTCTATTCAAATACCTTGATACTGTAACTCAAAAATTGATTTGTGTTTGTGTATTTTAGATGGAAAAACAGAATTATATAATGTTGAGGGTGTAAATATGCAATAGAATACAGCAGAACAGATAAGATCATCTAAACTGCTGCATCCAGACTGTTTCAATGCCCAAGCTAAATTATTTCTATCTTGATGTTAGACTGTATCGATTCAATGTTAAGAATATTGCCTTAAAAAAAAAAAAGAAAATCAGCCTCTTAAGAATGGATCAATAGTTCATTACCTGTAGACATCTGTCTTGTTATCAAACCAATCAGACAGAACTCGAAAAGTAAACAAAGGAAAACGCTGATGAAGAACATGAAAGCCCACATTTTCAAAAGTATAGTTCATTAGGTCCACCTAGGAAAAAAAAAAAAAAAAGAAAAAGGATGAGGTAAAAATCTGCATTATCTTTCACAGTCAATGAAAGTTATGTTTCTAAAAAAATTAACAACTAATTTATGCCTTTTAAAACTTTTCTGTGTGTGTGTATGTGTGTTTGTGTACATATGCGTGTATATATGTACATATATACATATATATATATATGTGAAGTTTGTAAGCCATAACTATTTGCAAGCACAGAAAGAAACTCTGTCTTCAGTTGAAAACAATACATGGAATTAAGTAAGGAGCTGCTGCTTTACTGTGGGAGTGCTTGAACGCTGGAGCAGTTGTTCAGAGAGGTGGTGGAGCTTCCATCCTTGGAGCTCTTCAAAATCTGACTGGACATGGTCCTGGGCAACCTGCTCTAGCTGATCCTGCTTGGACCAGGGGATCTACAGAGGCTACTTTGTGATAAGTTGTCACAACCAAATCTGAATTTGGTCAAAACAAAGTTTGCAAAGGTTGAACCTTTGCTGAACCTGAAAATGTAAGATCCTTTTATTATTGGTACATTTTATTATTATGCTGTAAAGTGAACAGTGAACAATGAATAGGTCTGAGAGTTCACAACAAGTTCAAACATTTTATTAACAAAAGCACTGTACTAGCTGGCTTGCTGAACAGGTAAGCTGTTCTCAAGATCAACACAGAAGTCAGAAGGACTACTGTTAAGAAACATCACTGAAAGATAAGCATATAAGTAAGCTTTGGTATTTTACATTTTAGTGACATAGAATATTCATGCCTCACAAAGTAGCAGACAGCTCTGTTTGGGAAGTAAGAGTGCATGAATGAATAAAGAATGAAACCTACATAAGTTACATGAAAACATTGACCAAAAGTTTACAATAATTAAAGAAAAAATAGGAGGTACATTAAATTGTTTTAAAACTTTACCTCATTTCTCATCATTCGCCAAATATTTAGGACAATTCTCCCAACAATGTTTATTTCACTCATTGTATCTGATCCGTATTCATCAAGCTCAGCTGCAAATCTGTTCTCTTTCTTATCATCTAAAGACATTAAAAGAGAGTATGTTTAGGAAAATTTTAGTGCAGTCAACATCAGATCAAGCAATCCATTTGAGAATTTGAGTCCTCTAAAAAAATGAGAATTTGCAAAGGCTAGCATTGATTGTACAGGATTATTTATTTACCAGTCCCCACGATATCTCTGAATAAAGCTGCCCTATGTTTTTATTTCCTTGGATATTCCCCTGCAGATAACTCTTACTCTGGCTTCACTGGTGTCCATGGCTCTACATTCTCTCACAGGGAATGTATTGGGCAAGCAATGCTGAATGTTACCAGAGAGGTAGCTGCACACATGGCAGTGTGTTAACACACAGCGGAGGGGGAAAGAAATTGGGGAAAGAAGTAATCTCCGCCCCACAGAGACTCTAAGTTTTACTTGTGATGATCTTAAACAATCAGAGCCAAATCATGGGAGAGAAAATTCAGCGCCTTTTGTACTGTGAACCCACCACACTGGGAACATGCAAAAGTATGGACAGCACAAAAGAAGAGAGAAGGAAATAGGAAGGAACAAGTGCACAGGCAGAAGTGGCAGTCTGATTCGTTCTGCAAGACACTAGTGACTGTGGTGAGGAAAGACAGAAAACCCTCTTTAGCCTTTTTCTCTGTCTGTGTGTGTGCTTTGAAATACTACAAATACTACAACAGCAGAAGAGAAGACAGTCTTTTTGCTTCACGTTTCTTAAAACTGTCTTTTTTTTCCTCCCCTCCACGAGAATCTATAGCTTTGGACTCCTTTCCTGTGTTTGATAATTTTGAAGCACAGCACAGTTTAAAAATTAGTATCAAAAAAACCTCAGTGTGTTTCCAACTAGTTATCAAGGTGTTTTCAGGGCTACCTCCACAAGCTATCATCTCCAGTGTTGTTCCTTCTTAATTAATTTAAGAGAAAACATTTTGAGACAACTTTCCCACAAATCTAAATTCATACTCATTTTTTTCAAATATTTGTTGTGTTCTCTATCCAACATCCATTTACCAGATAACCCTGTATCGCATCCTGCTAACAACAAACAGATGATATTTGTGGCACAGATTACAGAAGTGTGGATGCATAATACTGTGCAATAATGACCAGAGCTGGACAACTAGCTCCTCAGTTGGCTATGAAGCATATATACCGACCCTTGATGACAAAAGTGAAAATTCTCTGAAATTCAGCAAGGCTGCTAGTAAAAGCAGCGTAACAGAACAGCATCTTTATTTGGATCTTTCAAATGTGTGTCATACTGAAATACAGTTTAAAAAAAAAAAAAAAACACTACTCCTTATTGACTGGCCTTATCAATAAATCACACAGCCATGACAAAATTTAGCAGGCCTTTCATACATTTTATCAAAATGCCTCCCATCTTTTTTAATCTTTCAGATTTTTAAGCAGAAAAAGAAAATCCTCTCTCCATGCATGAATGGAGAAGAATCCCAAAAGTGGCAACAGTCTTTCTTCTGCTCATTTGATACGCTTGATCTCCTGCAAAAATGAGGAGCTTTCATTCCGCCACCACCCCCTTTTTTTTTCTAGTGGTAGCAAAAACTGGCCTATTTCTTTCACATTCAGTTATTTTCACCAATCTCATCCTGGTTCTCCTCTTCTGACTTGTCTGGGAGATTCCTCACACTTCTTCAGTCTGCTTCATGTGTTGCTGGTAGAGAGAGATACTCAAGTGTACAGCAGTCGCGGAAGAGAACTGCTGCCCTGATGAGCACAAGGCCTGGCAGAACACTGCAGGCTTTTGTAACTTCCTGAATGCAACCGGTGCAGAAGGCCCCTTCCAAGGCCTCTTTGGAAACAGAAAGTACTGAGTAACAGAACTGGAGATTCTTCCTATCTTTCTGGTGTGTGAGATGAAATTAAAAAAAAGTATCCTCTCATCCTCTATTACTCCCTCCCCTAGCACTGAGTTGTGATGCAAAGGAGAAAACAGGAGGCCACAGTGCACACACACAAAAATGCCACTACGCACAGGCACGGTACTCACTTCTCTTGTGCTGTGTCCTAAGGACTTATGAATATTTCACTTCTAAATGGCAGAGGCAGCATCAGACTCAGCCAATAAAGCAAAACCAGAGAGAAGTCCAGCTTTCCTTTGTTAAGCTGAAATCACAGGAAAGGGAAGGAAAAGTACCTTCCATCTTCATTTCAATAGGAGGAAAGAGCATGCTGCTTGAAGGAGCAGGAGTTTCTGTTCTAAAAATACAGCATGTCAAGAAGGAAGGGAAATATGAAGCGTAGGGGAAGGAAAAACGAGAGGAACATAGACGGGCCCAAAACCATGGACAAGGAAGCCACAAACCAACAGAGAACACAACACTTGAATGTTTATGGTCACACATGCAAGACCACACTTAAGGCATGGCATTTTTGGAAGGGTCTCATCAGTGTGAACATCTCCTTATCTTTTCCCTGCTGTTCAGCCAAAAAAGAATACTTACCTTACTATAACACTAGTTCTTGGGAATATATTATGTATTCCACTTGTGGGTGTATATCTACCATCTGGCACAAGAACTTGGGTATTATGAATACCATGTGGAGACCATGCCTATGTTCCACAGGCCCTCTTAAACTTTGTAGTCAAAGAAATTAAGGATTATAATCCTCCGTTCTTTCACTAAAACTGAATCCATCTTGCATGGAACTCTGTATTTGTATGGAATGCAGGAACAGTGCCATAAAATTATGAAAGTACGAGAGAGGGGGGGGTTAACTTTTTGCTGGTCCTGCATCAACTGCAGTGCAGACATAGCTGTCCTGGAAGTCAAGGGCTGGGACTCAAGAGCCTTGGAAGTGAAAGCAGAAAGACATTAGTTACCTATCCTGAACTTGAGAGATTATCTGTTGAGTCAGACTTCTTCAGCAGGGCAGTACACTTTTGTGATCTTCACAGGTACAGGAAACCTGTCAGTATAATGCTTACCATTCCTCTAGCCAGTTATTGCACATCCTGAAGGGTAAGAGATCAGAAGTTTTTCTGATCCTTCTTAATCTCAAGACTATATGCAATGGTATATTGCAGCCAGTGCACCACCTCCAGATGAGCCATCAAGGGGATTATATGATAGAGTTCTCCCAATCAGCTATTTTTCCCACAGGACAAATTTGGGATCTTTGTACTGAAAAGGGAAACTTTGACCTTGACTGGACAATGCATAATTAAACTATAACATGTTCTTATTTTTATGAATTAAGCATTCAAAATTTCACTGACACCGAGCAGCTGACAACATTGAACTGAAGATTTATTTTTAATATGTTTTCTTGTCCCTGAGCATTGCTTTGGATGGTATCTGTTAGTCAGAACTTTTCAAAACAGGTTACAGGTATCAAAGGTATCAGAAGATTTTGAAAGTATCAAAAAATTGAACAAATATTACAACCTCAAGAAAGGAGCAAGTAAATCAACACAATGTTTAAGCCATGAAGGTAAAGGTCCTGCCACAGCTCTAGATCAATCTAAAACTTTAATTTCAAACCTTGAAGCCACCAAAATTAATGAATGAGTGGAGAATTTTATGCACTTTATGAAAATACTTCTACTCTAACTTGAGAGGAATTTATCAAAATTATTAATAAGAGTTAGTAGAAGTCCAGTAAGTTGTAAAATTTAATAAAAGGAAAAAAGCTGGAACAAGATGGAATCACTCACAGATCATATCCATCTTTTCTAAAACACCATGCTCTCCTAGGCAGACAGATAGGATGCAAACATAAAAGATGCTCTACTGGGTCAGCCCCCAAAGATGCATGTAGCCTCCTATCATGTTCTGTCAATACGCAAAACATGATGCCTTAAAGATATGGAAAACACTTATTTATAACCTCTTGAGACCTTTTCCCAGTACCTAACCATTTGCAGCTTCCTGGGACAGATATTATGCATCTCATACTTAGTCACTAATGACCTTTTGATTACGCTTCTCATCTTTCCCAGTTGTCTAATAAGTATTTCGAATGGGGAGAGGTGAGGAAGAGGCCACATCTGCAGAATTTAAGGTGCAAACACACTACAGACACGGCCACATCTGCAGAATTTAAGGTGCAAACACACTACAGACACAACCACATATATTATTTCTCTCTTCCTTTCTCCATAATTCCTAATATATCATTTGCTTTTTTAGTCATTACTGAAAAACATAATCAAGTCTTTGATAGGACAAACACAGGCAAGCACTTCTTATGCCATGTACAGATTTTCACCAAAACAACTCTGCACTTTGTACCAAAGCCATGTTGACTCTGCTCAAGTGCATTGTATTTATACAGTAGATCACCAACTCCGCTCTTCAGAATTACTGCTTCTATTAATTTGCTAAGTACAGACATCAGCTTGCATTCACCTTGATAACTTTCCTCAATTTCGCAAGGAAAAACAGATCTTTTCCCGAATGCTGGGGAAAGCGTTCAACAACCTGGTATGAGCTGGGCCTGTTTAGCTTAGAGAAGAGAAGATTGAGAGGAGATCTGATCAATATATATAAGTAGGATGGGGCGAAACTCTTCTCTGTGGTGGCCAGTGACAGGACAAGGGGTAATGGGTGCAAGCTGAAACACAGAAAGTTCCATCTCCATGTGAGGAAGAACCTCTTTGCTGTGAGGGTGCCAGAACCCTGGAACAGGCTGCCCATGGAGGTTGTGGAGTCTCCTTTTCTGGAGATCTTCCAAAGCCACCTGGATGCCACCCTGTGCCACGTGCTCTGGGTGTCCCTGCTGGAGCAGGGAGGTTGGGCTAGATGATCTCTAGAGATCCCTTCCAATCTTAACTATTCTGTGATTCTGTATATGTTTCCCTCTAGCACTGGAACAGCTATTTAGGCAGAGTTTTATTACAGGGTTGCTGACCAAGATGAACACTGCTCAGGAACTTTTTTATGGCCTCATATCTCTGTCAAAGAAACTGTCTATCATGAGTATAGTAGGTACCTTGAATAACATATCTGCATATGACTGAAGCCAAAAAGATGGAAGAAAAGGCTATGTAGCAGGAGAACCTCCAGAAAGTCAAAACCTTCTGTTTTAGAACACCAAAAATACAAAATGCATAGGAAACAGGATAAATAGCACTGGGGAGCAGTTTCAGCAGCTCTACTCAAGCTTTCTCCTTTGTGAAGTTGGCATGCAAGATGAAGGCCTCGGAGAAAGACACACAGAGCTACTCAAAATGAATCTAGATTCATGGATACAGGACATACCCAGAAGTGGAATACATAAGGAATTCCAAATTTCAGAAAACAGTGAAACCAGTACCACACTGGATTTTTTTGTAGTTATGCCTGTAACAATGTAACAGTAAAAGCAGATTTCCATACCAAAAATTACCCTGCATTTATTTTAATTTACTTGCAGATTTCAACTCATTTCTATTGGAAGTGAACTGAAGCCCTATGCAGTAACTTACCTGGCACACGAGAAATCATCTGGCATAAATCAACATTCAGCGCAGCAGCCCTCTGTAAGAGATAACCCCAAGAATGCATCTGGACTTCATAGCCTAGCAAAATGTCTGGGTCATATCTGGAGAGGGAAAAAAAGGAAAATGAGCTTCACATTATATAAGAGAACATTTTTCATGATCAGAGCATAAAACGGGATTTCATTCTAGTCATGGTGATTTTAACCAGAGAGAGAAAGAAAAAAAAAAAAAAAAGCCCACAGTGGTTTTCTCTGAAAGCAGCATCTGGTCCTGGAAACAATATTTAAAGCACAGACAATCCTCCTACAAACACGCAGGATTTTCTATAATGTACGACTGAAATATTCTTTAAAAAGAGTATTTTCACTGGAAAAGCAATCTTTTTTTATATATTGATATTTTTGTCTTTTGAAATAAAGAACACTACCTGGATCTAATCAGCATTTAGATATGCTACATAGATCGTAATTACAACCTGACTACTGACACAAGACAGGTTTGCATTAAAATATAGTCCAGTAATCTCAAACTTTGCTTTAGTATTTTTGCTTGTAAATAGAAAAGTTCACCTATGAGGAAAGTGTTTCCTTGCTTTTACTGTTTCTGCCTGAGCAATAGCCCCATGAGAAAAGATGCAATTTGCTACTAAGATAATTGAATGTTTTGCAAGCTCCAGTGCCATGCATACTGAAATGCAGTTTGTAACAAACACAGGACACTTCTGGTCCTAACGGTAACTCTTCATGTTGAGAAAGTTAAAATTCACAGTTGAGTAATCTGTCAAAACTGACACAGGGAGAAAGCAACCACAATCACCAGTTCTATTTAAATCCCTCCATTTTTAAGATAAACAACTTCTTTCTGTAAGATGAACAAGAAAAACTCATTTTATGCTGTACTCTCATGCCAGGTGGAAAATTTAGTTGGCTCAAGTATCAGACACAGAAAAGGCTGAGTTTTCTGACACAATCACTAAGCTTCCAACTTGGGCCTCAGAGGACCAGACAGAAGGACAAGGTGACTTTGAAGTCAAGGCTCAAGTAGGAGCTAGCTCAGAGGAGCCTGAATCACCCATGCTTCAAGTAGGCAATATTAAAACCAGAAGCCTGGGAAGCAGGTCACTTGGAGGATAAGAGGGTAAAAATTTTCTTGGGCTGTGCAGACAGGGCTTGGCCAAAGCAACATTGTATTTCTATTATTTGTACACTGCAAAAGCAAGGTCCCTTTACTGGAAAGGGTATCTGCATCCTGCAGCGCAGCAGCAACTGTATAACCAAAGGGCAGCCCTCAGGAGGCAGAAGACAACAGCCTGAGGGTCCTGGCCACAGACCACCTCCAATCCTGCAACAAGGCTTGTAGACCTTCAGTTTTGGGAAGGCAAGACAAAGGCAAGATCGCTGTACCTTTCCCATCCTTGAACAGATCAAAACATGCCACCATTTGTTGACTGAGATATAAGAACATACCCTATCACCAACATATGATGCTTCAGCCCATTTCATTTAATGGGAAAGTGTTTTCCTTGCTTGTGTGTCCCTGACAAAGGTATATGACAACCTCCTTTGAAGTGGCAACTACTCTTAAGAATATTTTTAAAAGAGGTTCTCTGCAATTCTGCCATGGACATTATTTTTTTGTTAAAAATAAGACAAAAAGTATCATCTGACATTTTATTCATCAGGACTCTGTCTTTATTACAGTTTGGGATTTTGCACCAGGTAGAAAAAGATACAAAATCCCCATTACCACCTGTTTCCACTTGTGAAGGGTTGGATTTAAAACATTTTTTTAGCTAAAGACCATCAAGTAATTTCTAAATTTATAGCATTACAGATTTGTTACAAGACTAGACCTTTGAATTTGGGGGCTATTTTGCTATTTGCTGTTCACATCAAACGAACGGTTCTTTGCTTCTGGACACAGCAAACTGATCAGGGGTGAAGGAAACAGCATTACACATTTCTGAACTCTCCTCTACCCATAATAAGCAGTACAAAAGCAGCTACTTGGAACTTCTTAAGAGGAAATAAATAAAGCCAGCCTGCTACTCCTTCCAACAGCAGAACCACAATGTCAAAAAGAGTTATCACCACTTGCTTCTCCGGAGAATACAAAATGACTGCCGATTAAGGCTCAAAAATTATGAACAGTCTCCATCTAAGCTTTGAAATAAAAAGGAATTATGTAATGGTTTAAATAGTCATAAAATAAACTTGAAAAATTAACACTTTTTCACATTAATTCTTGCAACTAGACTATTTTGGTACGAGCATATTGCAAAATGTTACTGATTATTCAAAAGGCATTAAAAAAGCAGTTATTTATATTCATATTTGAAAACGGGTTTCATATTGTCCAAAATGAAAAATGTTTGTAAATTTTATGCAGAGCAAGAAGACATTATGCAGACGGCTTCCATGACAGATGTGTACTTGAATGAGAAACTTGTGAATAACTGCTTACATGGTATAGAAAACTGCTCATTATGCTACGGGTGGCTTGCTCTTTTAAGTCACTACCAAATAGACCCCATCATACTGTTGGAAGCAGCAAGTTGCCAGAAGTACATTAGCAATTACCATCTGTGGTTTTGGTTGCTTCTTTTTTTCTTGCAGAAGAGGAGCATTACTGATCTCACTTCCTGCTTAACCAAATTTTAGTGGTCTACTGTATTATTCTTGCAAATATTTCTGCTTTGAAAACAAAGTTTCATCACTTCTCGAGATAATCTCAAGTTAATCTTTTTGTTTATTTTTAAGCTAATGGATAAGAATGACCTCTATATCGTCTATGCATTCTCATGTAATTTTAAGTCTTCTTCTCTGGTCTGCTTCAGACGGGAAGAAGTTCTGTAAGTCTAGACATGAAAACACTTTTAGTTTTTATGATGCTTTCAGATGCACAACTTTTTGTGAGAATTAACAGTTGAGCTTAATTACATATTTTAAACAACTCTTATGTAAAACTACATTTGGCTTTAAAGCTTATAACTCAGAAAATGGACTGTGCTAGTTCTGAATCCTGTTTTTACAGGTCATAGGGCTGCCTATAATGGCAAGTTATTGAATCATACATCATCACGTTACAGTGCACTACTTGCTCTGCTTTTCCTTCCCAACTAGACACTGCATGCACCGTAACAGAAGGGTTTCATTTCAAGTAATTTCCGTATGTTTTAGCCTCTTCTGCAGAAGGAGGTATTATTCTTTGTTTGACATAAATGGAGATCAGGGTTACTACTTGGACATAGAAAATGAAATGTAGATGCCTAAATTTCAGTCCAACAACTTTCAGAGTAGACGGTAAACACGGATAGTCAGACTGCAGTGCACTATCCATAACTTCTCTGTAAACACAGTTCCTTAGTTTCTGGGATTCAGTTTTCCATTTTGGAAATTTGGATCCAAGTGGTATCCTTCTGAAGGCACAAATCCTTATTCATCATAAAGACACCACCACCAACTGAGCTGCTCAGATATTGCAATAAGTTACATGCATATGTGTTTTGACATGTGTATGTATTTTGTGTATCTATATGCATTCAAAATGTTTGCGCAAAAAAGACTAGAATTAGTATTAACAGTTTTTGAATACTTACATATTTCCAATCTTAACTGATTAACTATATAATCAAATAACATTTTTCTTAGTAAAATGTTTGCATGCATGTAGAATTAAAAACAAATTATATTATGTATGAGTAAAACATCTTTCTATCAAATATCTGCAATAACCAGGCCCCAAACTCAGTACTCAGGCCTGTTAATCCTGTTGCATGAGGTAGACCTATTAGGTCTCTTACACACAGTATGAGGCACAACTGTTTCCTGCTTCTCACTTCCTTGCACACCAACTTTGTCTTGATTTATGCAGCAGAAGTGTCCTCTCCCTCCAGCACGACCCCATGTACCAGGCTGCACAAGCCAGCCAGCAGGTCATCTCTTATGGTATATTTTTTGCTATTAGAGAAAATGAGATGTCTGGAGCAAAAAGACGACATAAGAACAGATAGGCCGAAGATTTAACTGGTGTAGGGAGAGTTCAGCCTAAGTCTCTTTCTCCCTTCTCTTCCATCAGGTGGTGGGAAGAACTCATTGCATATGGTACCACAAAGATGACAGGCTGTGAGCTAATGAGATGACAAGTTTTATATTCTTTATCCTCGCTTTTTCTAACTTTGTAATGAAGTATACTATCTGACTGGTCTTCATCATCAAGCTATTTACTAAAATAAATAGTGATGAGACCAGCTTTTTTATCTGCAAGAAACTAGTACAGCGTAACGCAGATATTCAGAAGCTCCTGGCGAGGAGTAAGGATAAGAGGTGTGCCTGCCAGCACAGACTGCTCTTTTGTTGAAAGGATGGGCACTGATACTGCTTTGCATGCTGTTGCCTGTCTCTCTGCAAAGATCAAGAGCAGCATTTATACTGGCAGGATTTAAAGACGATAGCATTAAAAGACGACAGCATTAACATTCAACTCATACATGCTGCAGAGAGAAGAAATCCGATTATTTTCCTTTCTAGCTAAGTTGTATGTGCTGTTACACCATCTCCTCCTCTTTCTTGTTTGATTAGAAAGATTTCACTTTGTGAATGGACACTAAAGCTCACAACAAAGCCTTCCCTTCTATTATGTGTCTGCTCTTCCTGATTGTTATTTCTCTTCCAGCTAAAGTTAAGATAAATGGAGGGGAAAAAATAGGCTAAACCTATGATACAGATAAAAGCAGTAACTGTGTATGGTAGCAGAACACTTGGTGACTCAAGTGCATATCTGAAATCTCTGAAAACATTTTTGCCAGTTTTCTCTGAACCAAAGAAATACATGAAGTTGATACAAGACATTAAGTAGAGATTTCTACAGAAAAACTCCTCAGTAGATGATTCTAGCCTGAGAAAAGAAGGTTAGATTAAGACATTTCTATTTTAGATTGGAAATGTTTCTAGAGCATTTACAGAGGAACAAATACAACACAGTGTATCTAATATAACAATTCACTTAGCATCATGCTTTAAAAGAAAACCTTTACACAACATATTTAAATGTACAGTGTATCTAATATAACAATTCACTTTACACAACATATTTAAATGCTAAGTATTTTAAAAGTTTATTTACAAATTATTTATCTCCAAAACTTTTAAGAAAAATCTTATTATAATATCTTTATATTGTGGTGTTATACTACTACCAGAAACTTTTTCCATGGGGACAAAGAACAGTGGGTGGCTGGTGAGTCTTCCGCAGTGGTGAATCTACTAGCCTTTTGCAAGTCTATTCTGTTTCCTAAACCTCTGCAGGTCACAGAGATGGGGAACTGTGAATCCCACATGAATTTCCCAAATCCCCTCTGATGCTTACAGGATCAGCTTTTTGCTGATGTCTGGTGGTATTTGCACTTACTGAAGAGGGGCAGAATTTGCCCTAAAACTGATGAAGAGGCCCAGACATTTAATTTCTCTTTCATGGGAATTCACTGCTCCATCAAGCTTGGGTAACTCTAGTTTTCCTGCTGCTTTTGAGTCTCCAAGGCAAATGCTCTTCTGTAGCTGCTTTCCCTTCCCTCCTTCCCCAGAAGCCAGCTTTCTTGTGTTCAGTACTGACTGGCTGGTGGAGCTATGTGAATGTGTTTTTCCGTTATTCTGCCTTTATGTTCAGACAGAAAGGTAGTTCTGTTTTATTTTGTTTTCAGGTAGAGAGATTCTTCCAGCTTTTCTCCAGCTGACTGACTTCTCCTGGTAAAGAAAAGGTCTGTTCAGGGACCTAAACAGACTTCTGGCAGCAGAAAATAATCCTTCAGGGCAGCTCCATATCAAGAAAAACTGACTCTCCTCTGTGGCAACTCTGAAGAGTTTACGGTTTCTGTACTTGGCTCTCTGCTTGCAGTTCATCCTCACTGGCTGATGGTAAGGACGTTTTTTTTTCCAGCTGATTTACATGAGTTTTGAACTCAAGTCCTATTTCCCATTTATGGCCAAGTGGACAGCTCAGCAAAGAAGGGAAAATTGGACTTGTGTAGTGAAGCATCATCTTAAACTCCAAGACAGCTGTTCATATAGTACAGAAAACCTGAATACTTGTGTTTTTCTTTGTTCCAAGTCCAGGCTGTTTACTCTTCCGTTCCTCTGAGAATTCAGCTCTTTCCTATATCCTCCAAACTCACCTCAGGAGGGAATTCCAAAATGCCTTTAAACTGCAGTGCTTTCTTTTAGCTGCTTCTACACATTTTGGTACCCACGTTTATGAATGCTCCCATTTCACAGGTGAAATCACTCTAACAATCTCCTAGAAATAGAGGTGCTTATGGCCCTTACTATTTGCTCAAAACTAATAATTTTCAACATAAAGGAAATCATAGATCATGAACTAAAACATCAAGGTTTTCTGTTGTTCTACAGACCTCAAGATGACTTATTTTCATTTGCCACTTGCCTCAGGATTCAAGTAATTTTTGACAATGTCTATTAATTTCAAGAAGAACTTTACTACTTAATGGACATCTAGGAAACCATTTTGATCTCATCGTGGTAATTTATTAACACTGTCTGGACAACTTCACAGTGCAAGTATAACTGAATCCAACTTCAGCTCATCACTTCCACGGAACTTTCTGGAGCAACAGTATTTCAGGTAAGAGTAGCTCACCAAGAAGGAAAAGAGTAACCAACTCCACTATGAAAACTCAGATTTGAAAAGCTCTTTTCATTGATACAAGACTAGTGGTACAGCCCATGAATAAAACACTAGAAAGCATTAAAGTCTATTGATTTAGGCACTGATTGCTCTTCTCTGCTTCAACATCTACATTCCTCAGTATCAACCAGTATATATGATTGTTTGTGTGGATACCCTGGATCATTTGTTCAAAGGCAAACCACTTGCAGATTTCTGACTGAAAAGAGATGGTTGAGCTAAGAATCTCATATCAACCTAAAAGCAATGCATTTCCCAAGAAACATCTTTTCCTCTTCTCGCCTGTGCCCTGGGAACAAAGGGCAAGACTTCTCTAACACACTCCTCCAAAATTCACAGCTATTGACAGAATTGACAGAAACAGGCATTTCTTGTTTTTTTACAGTCAGAACAGAATGAAAGCAAAAGCCTAGACAAATAAATGAAAGGTTGGAACTTCAAACAACTAATGTATTCTGTAATGCCAGTAAAAACTAGGCCAGGTGCTAAGAGAATGACTAGGAATCAAAACTGATAACAACGTATCTTCAACTGGACCCCATGAAACAGTATCCCACAGCTGACAGACTGTGTACCAAGACTTGGTCAGTGTACCAAGTTGAAGAAGTCTGTTCCCGCTGCTGACAAACGAGATTGAATATTCTGTCATTCACCTTGCAAGGCATCTGCAATCCCACTCTTCTACCCTTCCCAAAGGGCGGAGGCCAAAAACACTGACCAAAAGCAAGCTGTGGTCATGCTGAACATGCTGCATGGTCCCATGAACCCATTATCCTTCCAACATGATGGAGGATAATGATATCAACATACAGGACACTAATATAGTCTGCTACTGAAAAAGTGGCTTTTGAGTATTGTTGCATGGACCTGAGTAATAACACTTCTTAAAGGCCTGATTCTTTTCCTTCTCTAATCTGGCAGACCTGCTTTTAAGTGAATCTACCAGAACAATTAGAGTACCTAGTTTACGCTAGAGATCATAGTAACAGCCACACCTGTTAACCCTGACAACCCAATGCTAGAAACAACAACAGAAGTTTATTCTAGAAGGAACTCCTGATGCTGAAAGCTTTCACTGAAGTTCCTTGTTTACTCTGGGAAATATGAAGCACAGGAAACACAAAACAGCTTTCATTTAATCCAGAAAAAAATATTCTTCTCTTTGCCCTATATAAAATACAATGGAAAAAAAGCTGCAAACTCCAGATGTGGTCCCAGTTTTAAAAACATATTTGTAGAGAGTTCACCTGAAGACTGATCCCTTAAGTGATATTGCACAGTTGGGAGAAAGAAGTAGACTAGGAAAAATTGCAAGTAGTAGCAATTCCTCTCCCCATAAGCAGATCAAATCTGTTATCTTCTAGGAATAAAAGTTGCCTAACTGAATCTTTGAAGATAATGTTGGGTCCAAAAGGCACAATAGCACATCGCTGAAAGAGAAGATCTCTTACGAGGAGACTTGTGAGGCAGTAGCCCAGTGGTTGGCACTTTCCATCTTGAAGTACTACAAAAACGGCAAGCCTTTTTTCATCCAGTAATGCCTTCAGATGAAAATTTCTGGTGTTCTTCAGTGACAAACACACACACTAATTGTTGAATGCTTTTCCTCGCACACTCTCTACATACAGTCTGTTTTGTTCATTTGTTTGTTTTTTAAAAAAGTTTCTTCCCAACTGCTGGAAGATTCTTAATTGGCAGCTTTTATTGACAGGAATTTTCCTAAGTTTGATGGAGCACTAGATTTCCACGAAAGAGAAAAACAAAATTAGTTTCCTTACCTGAATTTTGTCTTCTCTGAACAGGGATCTGCTGCTCTTTCAGGACCCCCCTGTGTTGGTTGCATTCAGCAACTCTTTTTGTATTCTGGCTTCATGAGGTTGGTCAATGTCTTTCTCATCAGAAGTTTTCTGGTTGGAGAGAGAAAGAATTGCGAATGTACTCTGCCTAGTACACACTCTTTTTTTTTTTCCTGAGCCTGTATTCCAGGAGGGTGATTCATAGTTTAAATCTGGTTATGTTTCCGTGCAATTTTATGGCTTCACACATCTGTCAGTAGGCCCTGGAGAGATGTCTGTGGTTTCACACACTCACCAGCAAAAAAGGCTACCAAACAGGTCTCCCAACCTTGGTGAAGATGGGGAAAACCAGTTTTCCAATTTGATGGAGCAGAGGGGGGTTCCATTCAGAGAAGACAAAACTAAGAAAAAGAACTAATTTTCATCTACTCTTTACTCTGTCCATACAAGCTTCAGTATGAAGTATTTTTTTTCTGTGTTTTCTTGCAAAGTACCTAAAAAAACTTCTTCCCATTTGGAGGGGGTTCTAAAACTCTCAGCACTGTTAATATCTCCCATACGGAGGGTCTCATTAAAAGATGTCTAATGAATTCTAGGATTAACATAAAAGTTTATATGTTAAAGAAGATTACTTGTTTGGGTGATTAGTTTCAAGACTGTAATTCAGCTGCTTAAGAGAATCTGTATGTACTTGCTGTCAGAGAAAAGGAAAAGCAGAAAATATTTTTATTTAAGAGATCACCATGCATGTCCACTCTAGAAATAAGCCTTTGAGGAAAACAACAACAATAACAGAACAATATTTGAGAGAATGGCAAGGGTTGAAGGAACTAAATCTGCTGTACCAAGCCTGAAAAATAAAAGCAGAACGTACAGATATGCTACCTTTTTACAATATTCACTACTTCCTGGAAAAGAGTTCTTTCATCAGTAGCGTAAGTGACTTCTAGTCCTGTAACTCCAGATCTTGTGAGCAAGGGGGCTTGGTCTCTGCTCCCTGGAAAATAAGTAAAACAAATCATTAAATTTTAGAAGGAATTCTGTTATTTCAGTCAACACCATTGCTTTAGAATAAAACAATCATATGAAAAAATCATATAGAGTACATCCTATTTTTATCTTTAACATTAGTTAACACAATTAATCTCTTGTAATTTTTTTGCTGGGCAGAGGAATTACTTCCTTTCACTTTGTAAAACTATACCACAGTGGTGATCTTGCAGAAATTCCCATTGATCAAAAAAAATGTTACCATTTTATGTGTTAAAGAGTCCAGTCATGAGAGAATTAATTTTGAGGAAGAAATATTAAAGGACTATATTATATCTCATACAATGTTTTGAGGCAAAATATGTATTTTAATCTCTAGCTTAAATAGTGTTTTGCAAAATAACATAGAATTGTTTTTTTTTTTTACAGCACACTTATTAAAAATATAGCTAAGCTACTATTAGAAAGGGAATATTAACCCAGCTAAATATAAAGACTTATTTAGACAGGAAGCTTAATGCACAGCTTTTAGCACACTAAGAACTCTGCACACTTAGTGTGCAGTAAGACTGCCTACACTGATAGTGTATAATAGCTAAATTCACATGCATTCAGGAACTGAGCCTTTCTGTATAAAGAAACCCTTTAGCCGAAGTATAGTGTGCAACACAAATACCTTGCCTATAATTTTCTTTATACAACAGATTGTAATATCTCTGATTAAGGCAATAATCTGTGGTTCTTAAAAGACAATCAACTTTCTTAAGTTCTTCACAATTAACATTCTCAAGATCTTCATACTTTAAAAAAGTGTCCTTTTAGAAAAAGATGTTAAAATGATTACCACATCTTACAAAGCAATAATAATACAAAAAGGGAAAAAGGTGTATCGCAATGCGCCAAGTCACTCCACACGGAACTCAACAAGTTCTAACCAAGAAAATATTAACAGCATATATCAATTAAAGCAAGAAATGTCACAACAGCATGTAAATAAACAATAAAATGCTAACAGAACCAGATTAGAACTTTATTTTTTTCTTCAATAGAGGTCACTGGACCTCTTTACAGAAAGCTTTCTTGATAGTTTATCAGTGGCACACACCTAAGGAGCCACAGCATTCTATACTGTAACAAATCTTACTTAGTAAGATAATGGAGGTACTTTCGCTTAAAAAAAAAAAAAAAAGAAGAAGAAGATAGTAACAAGCATATACCAGAATAAATTTTATTGAGGATAATAGGGACTTAGCCTAACATCATAAAATATCTGCAATACTTTGAAAAAGAAACTGGTAAAAGAAGGAGCTGTTGCCTTGATGCTAGATTTATTTTTGGTAGATTTTTGTCCGTGTTTTTTAATTTTAGACAGTATTTTGTGGTTTAGTATGCATTTGCAACATCAAAGAAACCTTAAAAGACACACAACTTTTTTTTTTTTTACTAGCCTAAACCAGTGGTACTCAACCTTTAACAGCTGGAGAGCCACTTCTTTGTTAAATGGAGTTGTAGAGCACCATAAAAAAATCAAGTATCAACAGTGTGATTTTTTTTTTTCCTCCATCATGACACTTCAATGTGTGATGATGCTGCCTCATCATCACATATTGATACATCACGACATGACACACTAGCATCCCCTCTCCCAGCAGCATTCTGTCTTCAACCCCTTCCGGCTGCTAGGAAGAAGGAGTAGGGAGGAGGGGTGGAAGGGCAAAAGGGCGAATTTTTCCCCATTCTGCCCCACAGCTGCTGGGTTGGAGGTGATCTCTACTCTTACCTGTGGGGGGATCCCAGCAGCTCCTTTTCTTTCCCCCTATGGGAGGGGGAACTTCAGCGACTCCCACACTGCTGGTCCATTTGCTCAGTGCTCCCCGCGCTGCCTGATAGAGTGGAGCGCCGATCAGATGCCTACATTGCGAGAGCCGCCTGTAGGGCCACGAAGAGCCACATCCGGCTCTAGAGCCACAGGTTGAGTATCACTGGTCTAAACAAAGCCAAAAAGGTACAATAGAATAAGGGCCCCTGTTTAGATCCTGAAAGGATCAGATAAAACCACAAAAATAACCCTTAAGTAAAATATAAAACATACTGTCTTGCTTTAACATTCTCTACTTGTAGCTATCCAGCAACTTGACCAGGAAACTAAGACAGGTTTTCCTCTTTATGCTCTTAGAACACTGCAGGAGCTTGTCCACAAATACGCAAAAATAGATATTTTCCACATGTGTGTAATACTTGTGGTTTGCAGCTCATGCAATGGTTCTCAGGGAGATAAATCAGGAAAACTCTGTTTAATATGGCCATTCATCCAACAGTCAACAAGACAAAATTAAATGAGCTAAATAGTAATACAAACACTCTATTATATTTTGCTTGCTACTGTTTGATTATTATGAAATAAGCATTTTTGTAAAGTACATTAAGAAAAAAAAGAAATAGGAACCTTGGCTTGAGAGCGTCCAGTTTCTATCAATCACTATAGCACCAGTGATTTCTTTTTTGTCCGTATTTGGCAGTGTTGTGTCTGATGAGATGCAATAGAATAAAGCACAGATAGGATCAAACTCTGGGTCTGGCTCCAAATCTCGTCTGGTTCGAGCATGTAACTCCATACTGATGAGGGTAAGGTGTTGGACCTACCAATAAATAAATACCATAAATTAGCATGTTTTGGAGCTTCCTTTATACACATTTCAGAAGCGATTATTAATGCAAACAAACTCATTGAAGACAAGGGTCATCATATATGGTCGTCTTATAGTACAACTAACAAGTTACACCTGAAAAATTAACAGAAGGGATTAAACATGCTTTTTCCCCCTGCCACAAAAAGCACTTTCTTGCACAAAAAGATTAATCACTAAATGCTTTTTATACTCAACTATTAAAATTGAGTATTGTCTCCGAGTACTATCTCCTTCTATTGAAAACAGAAAATACAAATAAACAGAAATACTAAGTTTTAGCAAATATTAAATTCTTACAGCATGTTCTAATAGCTTTGTGTACTGTGCTGAAAACAATTTCTACAGTGATAAAGAATGAAGTACCACTGTCAGTCTTTTTATTTTCCTTTTCTTCCCTCCCCCAAAGCATGGAAACACGCATGAAGAACCAAGTTACTTACAAGAAGATAACGAGGAAACTTTTCTCTCTACTGTCACAAATGAGCTTCCACATTACTGACATACATTTTACAGGATCCCATGTGTAAGCAGGCCAGGAGCTAACCTCATGCCACGGATGCAATGCACATGGGAGCTGCTAGCCACTCTGCCTGCGGCCAAACATAACAGCACTGCATTCACACTGCATCCCCTCCTCCAGCACAGGTATGTATTTCTTCTCAAATCAACTGCTGATCCACACGAAAGATTCAAAAATCCTCTTTCGGATCCCTACCATTCTGTTAAATGTGGTAGGAAGTAGCCAAAAGATTCAGAAGGCAATGTGTAGAGATACAGGCTGATGCAATGATGCCAGAATCCTCATTTCTTAAGGAGATGATCCTAAAAAGTTATGATCAACTAGGCTTCTCACCATAATATATTTATACAAAAGTTATTTCTTCCTTCTGATTTCAACCTTTACCTTCACTCTATGTATTTTTGTAAAATGAGGTTGTCCAACTCACAAACTTGTGGTCACCAACTCATTTAAGCCAGGGAAGGACTGAGTAGGAAAGATTTTTTTAATTCTACAGTTACAAAACAGGTCAGATAAATTATTGTATAATAACATCTAACACTTATACAATAACACATAAGGGTAAGTTACCTCATGTAACGATTTTGCTTCTTGCAGGTTTTGCACGCTGACTTTAAAACCGTAAGTGTTATTTAAAGATGGTCCTTCAATTTGAGAGGATTCTTTCTTTGGAGCATTGAGGGCAGCAAACTGATTCTATTGAAGAAGAATACACACAGTAAAATATCCAAAAAATCAGCAGGTTGCTAAATTCATATGTAATAATGTAAAAATTAAGTACAAATTTATCAACAAAAATGTATGCTACCATTACAAAAAGAAAGCTTTGTCGTGTCATTTTAAAACAGGAAGACAACAGTTGTATCATTCTGCCTTGCAGAAAAAATTTTCATGAAACCTCAAGGTAAAGCAAGAGGCATTTTGAAATACTGATATTCATTTTTTTAATAAATTCACATTGGCTTTCTTAGAAGTCTGAGGACAGAGGAACCACTAAGTCTCTATTCCCTCTTGAGCAATGATTCCACAAAACAGCCTGTTTCAGACAGCACTTTTAAAAGGTACTTAATTAAGGGTATTGTAAGTACTAGCTGAACAGGGTGATCCAAGAATCTTTTTTGTTAAGAAAAAAAACAAGCAACTCAACCAACCAACCAACCCTCTCCCGAAGCCTACAGGTCAGATCAGTGATGCACCTAGAACAGTCTTCAGTAATAGGAGCAGAAACGCTATTTAAGAAAGTCACACAAATGTGATATTTTTTTGTGATCCATTCCCTTTGTGCTTTGTCATTATCACATCGCTGGCTATTCATTTTCCAGCAAATGCTTGAACAAGGTCTGAAAAGTAATACATATATCTATATGTATACATATACAGTTATGCACACATAAATACATACATATGTGCATATATAAAAAATATCACAGAAGAAAACTACCCATCTTTTAGATCTCTAAAACTGAAGTTCCAAAATAAGTATGTGTTCAAGGTACACAGTTAACCCAACAGAAAATTATTTATAAATAGAATGGAAACAAGTAATTTAACAAAAACGTATTTGTACACCGATTTTTTCTTTACCTTCATTTGTGTGGTTAGAAGCACTCTTCGAAGACCATCAGCATTATTTCCTCTCTTGTGACTCAACTTTTGTATTTTTGGTTCTGTAAAGACACGGTAGTGCAAAGCTACTTAGCTCCCCTAATATTGTCTAGGCATTAAACAATAATCTGGAAACAGTCAGAGCTTTTAGTTAACATTGTAACTGCAAACTGTTCTCTGCCCAATTCAAAGCACAACTATGATATTTAAACATGCTGTTTAGATACATTTTGGAATGTATAGGCCAGTAAAGATAAAAACCTCACATGATTACTTCGAGCACTGCAATACTATTTAGACTCTACATGTTTGTAAAAAAATTAAATTAGCCAACACAGTTAAAAAATATATATATTTTAAATTATGTTTTTAACCAACATGTCAGAATTCAGACACTACATGCCATCAGAAACACAAGCATGTTCTGCTTCTAAAGTTAAGTTTCACACTTAGTTACTTTAACAACAATTTGCAGGTCTTTTCCTTACCAAAACAACTTCTAAGCAAGCTTTTATGTGGATGTCTGCATATTCTCATTATGTCAAAAGAAACATAACATCCCTCCTTATCATTTTCAGGAATCAAGTTCAGGAAAACTTTCTGTGTATCATTAAGCTTATTAAGGCACCTACCTGTTGATAAAGGAGTAAACCCAAGTTCTACAGGTACTTCATCTTTATTTTTATTCTGCACGATGGGTGTACTATGTAGGCAAATGGATTCTGATTTTCCATGATCTTCACCAACCGCAAACGGAGAGGTGTCAAAGGGTGTCCTGATGTTCTCGTGGGTTGAAGGAGAGTTCTTTGCACTTCCAACAGGTGCTACATTGTTTTCTTCCACAGAAGACAAAATAACATCCTGACTTTTCCAGTCAGCTTCTTCTAAACTGGACTGCTTAGGATCTGGAGACGCGACTTGTTGCCAAGGAGGAAGCACTGGTGAATCTGGTGAACTGTAACTGACATAATAATCCTCCTCCTCTTCCTCCTTATCATGTTCTAGTGCTGAAGTAGTAAGTGTCTTGCTTTCAGACGGAGTTTTATTGGGTTCTGGGTCACTTTTATTACTTACAGAAGTTCCTACAGTGCTTATAGGTCTATCAGAGGTTTCCTTGGTTTGTGTCGTAGGAACTACCACTGAAGCAGAAGAATCTTTTGTAGGCACAGAAGGTTTTTCATCTTCCAGACTAGATATACATAAATTTTTAGCGGCTTTTACTACTTCTGTAGACTGCTCTTCAGACAACACTGTAGAGCTTAAATGCTCAGCTGCCTTTTCCAGCTCAGCAGGAGGATTCTTCGGCAGTTTCTTGAAATGCTCATACTCTTCTTTGGCATGAAGCCACATCTGAACCTGCTGTTGGCTTGGAGCACACTTGCATGGCATTATGACTATTTTTTTGTCTTCACTGGTTTTATGGCTATTAGTTTCTCTTTTGCTAGCAGTAGAGTGTCCGTAACGGGGAGGAGACAATGGCCTAGGATTTTCTGTCATTGCCGAAAACGCTGTCTTCCAGAGTCGCAGACCTTCTAATGAGAAGTCTCCCTCAAACTCTAGCAGGTCATGTGGAAGTCTAGTTTCTACTGTGAGAAGCCGTCCTCCAATCTCCCTGAAAAGAAAATAGTTTAAATAATTGCTTTGCTCCAAAGCGCATTGCAGGCAGTCCTCAAGATGATATACGGAGTCCTGGTGACTAGCTTGCTCACAATGTAATTCATGGGGCCTCATTGGGTTTTTTTTGTTTCTTTTTTAAATAAAGCAAGAAAGCAGACTCCCAGTTACCACAATAGTATCAATCAATTAAAATAAATGTAAAAGAAAACGGATAGTTGCATGAAAGTACAGTAATTCTGGACTTCAAGTCTGTGAGTATGAGATGGAATCTCTCATGCATATGTGCTACCTTATAGCAATAAATTGCTTAAAGAAATGAATTAAATTTAATACAATATAATCACAAGCATATGTAGGCAGAAATGCCTTTAATATATACTAATATATATACCTTGGCTTTTCTGGAGCATCGGAAGGATTGCTGCAAAATGGTTCCTGATAAACTGTTTCTGCAAGATCATGATCCAGCAAAGTTGCCATGATTTCTTCACGACTGGGCGGGGACATGAGAGGCTTAAGGATGTGAGCAGTACGAGGTGTAAAACTTCCATTCTTTGACTGTGAGGGAGAGCTGGTTGATCTTGGTGAACTATCTGGAGTTGGAGTTAATGCTTCATTATTTCTTGAAACATATAATTCTAAATCCTCAGAAACTGCATCTATAAGTTCACCATCAGGAGAAGACAATATGGATGTAGAAGAGGTATTAACTGAATCAAGTGGTTGACAGGCTTCAAAAGTGGTTTCTTTTCTAATGTGGCTTTGTATCCAGTCTGAATTAGTTGGTTGAGGAAGACTGAGAAATCTCTCCTTACTTACTGTATTTCTATTTAATTTGAATTTTTCATTTAAACAGACCTCTGCCTCTTGCATACAAGAAGCATCTACAGAGTTTGATCTGGAAGTTGAAGGATGAACATTTTTCCTCCACTGGCTATGACAGTGGTTCTCACCGTTATCCAGTGAGGTTTTCTCAAAAAGCTCAGGGCTCAGAGAACCAGACCTCATCCACTTACTTGAAGCATGCTGCTTTTCTTCTTCAGATTTTTGGTCACTGTGACACAGAAACTCATTTTCTGTTGTTTGCCCAGAACCAGGATCTTGAACAGCATCACTCAAGAACTTCTGGGGCAAATTTTGATCTGCTGGGACAAACTGACTTGCAGAATAAAAACTGCAAAATCCAGTTTGCGCGATAGTATTAATATCAAAGTTGTAATTGTGGTCTGGAGACAAGCTATCTTCGAGTGAGTAACAGCTTTCAAAACCAGGGTCTGAAAAAAAAACGGGGCTGTCATCAGACACAGCATGATCAACATGACTACTTGTCTGCTGACTTAAAGACTCCTTTTTGGAAAGTCTGGGTGTTTTTTCTTTAGGTTTTGTACTCCGAGGAGCACGAGCTTTCCTTGGTGATGTGACTGTCCGTGATCTTTTGATTGCTTTATTCTGTTCAAGAGGACAAGGTGTACTCTTACTCAGTGGCATTTTAACCGACACTGGTTCCTGTGAGGCATTTGCATTCTGAGCTTTCTGTTGCCTTTTCTGGAGCAGCTCCTTCAGAACAGCGAGGCCAGACTGGCCTTCACTGAAGGCTGATGGGGTCACTATAGTCCTGTTTTTATATTGGGAGATGGGTTTTGGTTGCATGGTTGTTTCTGACAGAGGCCTTTGTTTTACTGTTTCAGGTTTAAAATGTGACATATCCAAAACAAAACCTCTCTGTTTCTGGTCCCAACCTAACTGTTTCACTGGACTCTTCAAAGAGGTTACAAAACAGTTCTTAGGCAACTGAAGTGGCCCTGAGCTTTCCTCAGATGACTTAAGAATAGAAGAATAAGGATCAGAATGCTTGGATGCCTCTGGTAAACACAAAATCTGCTGTTGATTACTGTCTTTACAATGCAAATAGTTAGTGGCGTGCAATTGATCCATCTTTGTCGTGTCCAAAGAGTCACGAGTTTCATTTAATTTTCCAACTGCTGGTAAAAATTTGTTTTGCAAATTTTTAATCTCATCCACTTTTGCAGAGGTCTTATCTTTAGACATATGTACATTCTGTGTTACCTGAGTTGTGTGGCTTGATGGGTCAAATATATTTTGAATGAGAGCAGAATCCTTCATTCTAAATAAAGCACTTTGAGTCCTAGGCCTTTGAGAGCTCATTTTTGTTACTTCCCTTCCAGATGCTACAGGAGTAGACAGGAGAGATGAAAGAGGATCTTCTCGTGGAATGGATAAGCACTGTGTATCCACAGCCTTATCAATTTCCATTAACGAATGAAAACAGCCTGATGAATTGCCTTGGGTATCGGGAGCTGGAGGGAGCTGTGCTGATGGCAGATACCCTGTTGAATAGCCAGGAGGAGGAACATCTTTCCGATTATGAAGATGCTGTGGAGTGCCAGAGTTATAAGGAATCTCAGGCAGGTCTTGATGTTTGAGCACAAACTTAACCTCTGCAGTAGAGCGAGTAGTTCCTGTTTCATCTTTAAATATCATACGCTTTCTCGACACTTTTTCAGATGTTTTTTGTCTTTGTTTTGTTCTGGGTTTCTTCTTTCCATCATCTGGTGTTTTGTCAGCCTGATTCATCTTTTTCTTCTTCTTGGTAGACACAGTGGGGCTAGCAAATTTCTTTTTACATTTCTTAACCTGAGCTTTTGCACGACTATTTTTTCCAACACTAGAATTAACAGTCTTGCTGTTGTACATATTAGGGCCCTTACTAAGTAAAGCTTCTCTATCCAGGTTGGTCAAAATCTCTTCAGCTTTTGGATCAGTGGGGGACCAGCAGCGAGGTGGAGATGCATTTACCGGGCTTGTGCTTCTCTCGGAAAGAAAACCTAATTTAGACATAACATCACTATAGTTATAGTCACAGTCTTCAGCTTCAGCATTATAGGATGGAGAGGGAGGAGAAAGAATTGTATGAGTCCTTTTCCTAAAGGATAAAGTTCGTTTAATATTTTTATTACCTGTTTTTTGTGGTTTTCCAGCTTTTTTCTTGGCTGACTTATGCTTTGCTTTCCTTTTGTGACTTTTCTTTGGTGTTAGTGGATAAATAGGATATTTGGTTGCAGGAGAGTCAGGAACTTTTGGCCAAAAGTCCTTTAAAGGTGCAAGCTTTTTATATAAGTTCATCTTTTCCTCTGTGAGTACTACTCTTTCCTCACTAGAATCTACTTTCCCTAGTTTAACAAGCATATTTTTTCTCCCTCTAAATCTATTGATGATAATATATTTAATAATAACAGGTGGCAATTTTTTAGATAACTTTCTACGTTTTCGAGACTTCTGAGACCCATCCAAACTTTCAATACTTTCTATGGGCTGAGGTAGATTAATTTTTGAGTTGTGTGCTACAAAGCTTGATTCACTGTCTTCAGTCTCGTAAGTTACCTTCCGCTTAGTTCGTAGCGTGTATTTATTCCCACATAACCCAAATGACTGCTCAGCTTCAAGGGAGCCATCTCCAAACTGGCAGTCAGTACAATTAGCAGTACTTGTAGGCATTTTGTTTTCAAAAGCCTCAAGAGGAACTTGAACTAAGTCACTAGGTAAAACACCATCCTTATCAGGAATGTTACTACAAGCATTACCTTGTGTATAGCAGCTTTCCTTCATTGATGCAACGTCATTTACACCCGCAGGCTCCTGATGATTTGTAAAATTGAGTTTCTTTTTATTCAGCTTCAACCTGGACTGTTTGTTGCCTTGCTGTAATTTGTATGTCACGGGAGCTAATTTTTGAGGTCGACTGAGACAATTAGAAAGAACAACACTAGGAAAGAACATATAATGTGCTGCTTGTTGGCTGAGGCTTGGTTTTTCTGCCTTATGCTCCTGAAACTCTTCATATCTAATTTTAAGTTTATTAAGGCCACCTTCATCAGTGTTATTTTCAAGTGAATGTACCATAGTTCGACTGCCTCCTGAACAAGACACCAATTCACAGTTTTCTGTAACTGTTGCTGGATAAAAACTATTTATACTTGCACTGCTGGACTTTTCATTTACTTCAGAGGATCTTTTTCCTTTGGAGTGGCTCAGATCAGAAAAGTTAAATGAGTTTTTACTCAACATGCTGTCACCAATGTGGCGGCCCATATGCATAAAAGAGGCATCCTTTTCAACCTTTCTGATGCTAGTGTACTTCCTACTAGGTATCTGTCTGCTCACTGATGAAATATCATCTTCATACTCAAAAATATTATTTTCACATGAAGGAACCGGAAGAATATCTTTCTTGTTACTTTCTTTATGTGAATTTTCTGCATGGGTACTATTGCTGAATGACGTTGGGTACTTGGCTGTGTAAGTGCTTTCCTTTGTAAGAGAATGGACTGAAAGCTCAGGTCTTGCTTCTGTGTTTGGTGGCGAAAGCTCTTCTACTAAGTCTTCATTGTTCAACAGGTGGTTAGAAAGGGCACTTGTGTGTTTACACTGAAAAGTAATTTTAGCAGAAGATGGGGGTTCTAGCGTAGCAGCATCTTTGTGAAAGATTGAGGTCTTTACAGACATTTTGCTTGTTGCAATGACAGAGGAGTGAGTTCGAGAACTTTCATTATTCAAGGGATTGTCTGAAATGGAAGACAAACAATTTTACTTTAGTTTTCCTTCAAAAACTAATCTAAGTCATTAACCCTTCTAAAGACATTATCATGAAAGCCATCCCACACAAAAAAGAAACAAACCTCTCCTATATTACATTCCATTTATAATCACAACAAGTATATGAGTAGCCTTATCAAAATCACATCACTAGTATATTAATCTCACAGTCATTCAGTCAGTTACTCCTAAAGAGTAGACTTGCACATATTTGCTGAAGATTTCATGCCGGCTTTCTGAAAGAAATATAAACAGACTTTTTTTTATATATATATAAAAAAAAGCTATTAATCTGTATGCATACTCACTGGCTCTGAAAAACAAGCAACTTGTTCAGATGACTCCATCTCTCTGTGTTGAAAAAGGCATTGCACGTAACACAAAGTATGATCTTAAAACAACTACTGTGCATAAGGTAGTTTGCTACACTTTTAAAGCATAGCAAAATACCATCCATTCTGGTGTTTATGTGAGAAGTTACCACCATTTAATTACCCTAGCATAAATTCATACTCAGGTGTTGATATTCCCACACAGATATGCTGTGGTTTGCTGCCCGGTACAGACTCATCACATGATACACAGGATGCTTTTTTCTTTTTTACTGGTATTTTCCTCAAATTTACTTGAGGGGAAAGTTGTGCACACAGGTGATGGTTCACAAATTTACAACTGCTCTTCAGTAACTGTGTGCTTGTCCATAACCACAATAAACCCCAAGTAATTTGAAGGGGTTTTTTATTCTGCAGAGATCCAGTCACCACAATTTCTTGGAATACAGTAGCTTGCTCATGTGTCCACACCTTTGGCTGAAATGCTGAAGGAGGAGAGAAGCTACAAAACGAGATGTGCGATTTGGAACCATGTGCTGCACTTTGTTGTACTAGACGTGGTGTCTTTGGGGCTTTTCTTCTAACCTAATCCGATTTTGGGATTCACCTTAGATCCATGCTGCCTTCATCTTAGCAGATTTATTATTCCGTAGAGATAAAAATAAAGGGTTTTCTAACCATACTTCTTAACGCAAACGTGAGGTCCCTGAGCTGTGAAACACAACTGGGAGATATGGTTGTCCACACAACCAGTGTCCACACAAAGGAGGAGGATTAACTGAAGAGCAAGAAAATGGGAGTTCAATTAAACAACAAGAAACACGTGGAAAACACCTGACTATTCAGACAGGAAACCTAGAAAAGTAGTTATACTAAGTAGGATAGATGTTATGGATACAGAGATTTGTGTGTGGATGAGTGTCTATGATTCTATGAGCACTTCGGATTTAGATCAATCAGACTGATATCTACTACTTTGGAATTTACAGTACTTACAACCACAAAGCTTCAAGGAGTGCATGTTATTTCAGGTCTGATTTCAGGTCTAATCTTACTTTAAGCTGACATTATTTTTCTCTTGCATGTGAATATTTCAAACACTTAAAATATTTTAAAATATAAACAATACAGTTTCACTAGCCAAAAGCACCCAAGACACTCCAAAGCACTACAAATAAAGAAATTACAATTGTGTATTTTCCTAAATCAAATCATGCAAGTGGTAAATCAAGTCACATATCAACCCTATCATTACACCCATGAAAGTAAAAAAGCACACAATATTATATAAAAATGGATGCGAAAGAATGGTTGTAGTTGTCTGTGTACGATTGTACATCTCACTTTCCCCTGTACAGAACTGCTTACAGATGCAATCAAATTATACATATTACTAATATTTGTTCATTATTTATATTAAATAGCTGCAGGAGTTGTTAGATAATACACAGCTATCATAAAGGATTACATTCCCACACATAAGAGCAAATACAGAAAAAAGAAATCATGTGCTTGCAAAACACATGTAAGTTTTACACTACCCAGTGTCTACTGCAGATTAAAAAAGTTTCTATGCAAAGTGATGTCAACCATAAATTTCAAATTTTCCTGTCAATGAAGTTGGACTAATTTATTGTTTCAAAAACAAAGACGAATAATTACTGTTGACCAGACTAAGCACAAAAATAACTATAATACTGAGAAAACCCTGGATACAGATAATTTTTCCCCCCCAAGAGGTATATCTTTTTCATTATAAAGTTAAACAGAACTTTGTACAGGTGAAAAGAGGAAGCTTGTGTAATGGAACAGATAGCCTAAGATCAAATAAATACATAAATATTAGGTATTCTATTTACTACAGTTACTTCAAGAGAAGACAACAGGTTATAAAGAGAAGGCAAGAGATAGCTCAGACTACTTTTTAAATAGATACTGAATGACAATTTCCTCTGCATCAGCCTTGTCACTGCATAGTTTTAACGCACGCAATCCCAAGATGTGACCATGCAATCCACGGAACGAAACACATGCTTAAACAAAGGTTCACTGTATTTCTAGCACAGATGGCAAATACTTGCAGAGCAAAATTAATCATCTAGATTTATCACATTAATGCAATCACTACTTACAACTAAATCCTAGGAGAATAAATGATCTGACAGAATCATTAACTGCAACACCATATTTACAAAGCAAATATTTTAATATAGGAGGAAAAAATACTTCCAGCAAAAAGTTAAGTTTACCTTTTTCATAAAAGTAATTAAAGACTGCCATTTTTTTGGACTGCTACAATAGGAGAGGCAATTTTGGTAATCTGTAGAGGGCAATGAAATTAAAATACTGTTGGTTTATAAGGAAGATATCCTGGGCTTACAACTGCAATCTGCTGAGAGCACTTCCTTTCATTTAAGACAAGAATTGAAGGTGATTAGCCCTTTCCAAAATTAGCAAATTGATCTGAAAATTAACTGCAACACAAGTAATGTTTTACTATCCACTTACCACCATTTTCATCTGCAGTCCCATCTAACTGAGGTATAGAGAGATTAGTTAGGAGCATATTGCTACCACTCCACTCCATTTCTTCCTCTGAAGATGAATCCTCTTCTGTTGAGCTTCGATGCATAGTTTTGCCTGCTGACCTAGAGAAAACAGCAGAACTAATTAAAGCAGAAGACTTTATTGGACAATACCTATAGCACAGGGAACCTCAACATCAAAGAGGCCTGGTGCTATACGGTTGTGTACTTTGAGTTTCTCACCAAGAAACTCAAAATATTATTCAGGATTGTTGTTTTAAGAGGCAAAGATAGTTTTTATTTTATAAACTTGCAGAGAAGCATTGCACTACCCAATAGTTAAAGTTAGAAAGCATTTATATATAATTTCTGTTTACATTTTTTTGAAAATTAATTGCATTGCTTGAGAGTGCTTGAAAAAACCTTTACTATATTATACAAGTTCTCTCTTACCAGGCTTAACTAAAATACAATCACAGAAATTGAAGTTTCATGTCCATCCCTCCTTGATCACTCTGAAGAAGCTGCTATTACTAATTTCTAAGCCACCCTATGTTAACTGTTCTACTCTGCCATTTTTACAGTCAAATCTGCTACAAGATACAGAAGAAAAAAAGAAAATTTCAACAAACTTTAAGGTGGCATGGCTATATTGGGTGTAGGAGGAGAAATGGAAAAGCCAAAATCCTAAGTTCCTCACAAAAAGTAGAACTCCAGAAGTCATGGGGGCAATTTCTTGTTCTTTAAGTTCAAGGTAAACATGATTCTTCACTTAAAAAAAAAAAAAAAGGCAAGCAAAAAACACAACAGCAACAAAAAAAAATTGTTCTGTGGCTTTAAGAGAGAAGTCCAGGATATTCAGGAATTTAACATTTTTTAAAGATAAAAAACCCTATACCAGTAAAGAAAATTTCAAACTATTTGTTAGTTCAGTGTATGAGTATGTTATTGCACAGTACCTTACAAAACATTAATATCAAGGATATGAAATCAGAGGAATGAAAAAAACAAAAGCCCAAACCTGGAGATCCTCTTATCTGTGGAGTTTAATTAGACACGGGTTACATGCATCATAACAAAACAGACATCTGAAGGTGCTCCACACAGATCTGTTTGGATCCAGCAATGCTTGGCAGTTAAACAACAAAAGGCCCAAATATGACTATGTTGTTTCTAGGCTAACCCAAGTCTGGAAGCAGCATGAAGAGCTAGTTGACTAGTATCTTCATGGAAAAGGATGCAGGAATCCTGGTGGGCAACCAGGCTGAATTTGAGTCAGTAGTGTGTCCTTGCAGAAAAAAAAAAAGAAAAAAAAGGAAAAAAAAAAAAAAAGCCAACTGCATTTTGGGTTGTACTAGCAAGACTGTAGCCAACTTGGCAGGTGTGAGGTATCATCTGGAGGAGTGTGTTAGTTTTGGACTCCCTACTACAAGACATACATTCACAAACTGGATCAAGTCCAACAGAGAGTCATTAAGATACCTGAGGAACGATGCATGTGATGTGTAAAGAGAGGTTAAAAGAAAGAGATTTGTTCATCCTTGAGAAGAAGCTAAGATGAGATCTTACTGATATCTTCAACTACCTAATCAGTGGGAATAAAGAAGACATATCTAGCTTCATGGGTGCACAGTAATGTGAGGAGAGGCAATGCACACAACTTGCAACAGAAGAAACTAGAATTTTTGTGGCAAAAATTCTTTGCCACAAAGGTGGTCACACACTGGAACAGGTGTCCCAGAGAAGCTGTGCAATCTCTGTCCTAGAGATATTCGAACCTGTCAACAGGGCCCTGGGCTATGCAAAGCTGCTATGACCATTGGACTAGATGACTTACAGACATCTCTTCCATCCTGAATTATGCTCTGATTCTGAACATGAAGCAAATCTTTGTCAACTCCAGTACGGCCAGTTACACTTGAGCTGTCTTCTGCAGACAGCAGCCTGGACCTCTCTGCACTCAAGCTCACCACTTCAGATTTTCAGGAAGACTTGTCTCTAAGGCAGCATGATACCTCCTTATTATTGGTTCTCCTTCAAGAACTAATTAAAGCCTAGCTGGGCTTTTAGCTCCAGTTCAGTGCCAGTCAAACTCAAGATGTTTACACCAGTCGCTACAGCTTATTACTTCAGCACCACCTTCTATTTGAGATGATGGAAGACTGGGAAATTCCCAGTAACTAAAATGTATGGCTATTGTAGGATGCAGTAGGAAGCAATACAAATAGTGAGCCTGAGAAGAATCAGGCTGGATCTATTGTCAGTCTCAAATTGGCTCTTTATACATGATCAGCATTGGGTGGAGGTTAAAAATAACCATGCTCTCTTCTGAGGTTAGTCTGAATTCTGCAGAGATCAAAGGATGCAAAGCTTGTAATTCCCTCCAAACACGCACTCACTCCACGTGGAAGGACCTGGTAGGTACGATCTCCCCGGTGCTTTCTGGGTGCGACAAAATGTAGGCATACGTGAGCTAATTAAACTTGAACGAGCTCATCATGTCTGATGCGTTTTTAAATTGGATTCTCTATCGCATAAAAACTGTTAACTGCTTCAGAATCTTACTTGACTCCAGAAGTTGTACAGTCAGGCTCATGCAGAACTGTGCCTGAATGAATAAATTCTGCATTATATAAATTGTTTTTACACAGAAACTGCCATTTAACTGAAGCTTAAGGTTAAGTGTTTTAGCTGGAAATTTCCAACTTCTGCAGAAATGATATATTTTCAGAGCACTGTGAAGCGGAAAATAAGGAAATCAAGGGTTAGATAAGAAAAGGGTCTTGACAGACAGAGTATCTCTAAGCAGGTGGTCACCTGAAAGGAGACCTGAAGGTTCACCTTTCTGTACGGCTTCAGGAAAGAAAGAAAGAAAGAAAGAAAAAAAAAAGAGTATTTCTGTACTTTCGGAATCAAAAGTATAATTACAATGGCTGATCTAAAAAAATTAAAATTATTATGTGAAATTATTATGTGTGTTAAGTTCCTCACATCTCTGGACAGAATTCTAAATACTGGAAAGTCTACCCAAAGCCTGGGTGATAGAAAATTGGATACGACTTCTTTCAAGGCCTCTCAGAGCGGATTTGACAGAAGGTCATTACGACCTGAGAAGGTGTTCCAAGAATCTTAGCCTTTAAATATTCAAGCTGCTGACCTTTAGCAGCCCAGCACAGCAAGCAGTATTTACATTTTGATTTCAGCCTTGAACATGGACGCAAAGGAGGGCAGTGATCAGACTTCTGGGTCAGTCTTCATAAAAATATTTCTTAAGCATCCACTTCAGTGAAAATTATGGGATGTACAAGATATATCTTAAGTTTGTATCATAACCAGAGTATGACTTGACTTTAAAAGCAATTTACAACTAAAATTTTCCTATGGGGTCTTGAAGGGGAAAAAAAAAAAAACCTCAATTTTTCTCAAACAGCAAACTAGAAGCTTAGGTCTATTCAAATCTAAATATTTTGTCCATATTTGCATGGAATACTGATGATTCACAGCACTAGCTCAGCAGCTGCATTCTGTCCCAGACAGACAGGGATTTTTCCAGTGTTTTCAACAGGGATCCCTCTAAAGTTCACAGAGATCATAACTCACTTGAGGATGGGGGCAGGGAAGGGGCTGAGAGGGAAAATCTGAACAAATGAACAAAAAACACTTTATAAAACACAAACACACATATATACCTTCTTTTTGGCCCAGGCTCTTCAATGCTACTGTCCCACGGTTGGGACATTAACAAGCTAAGTTCCATTTCTTCTTTCTCACATTGTGGCTCATTTTCTTCATCATCACTGTTCTGAGAATTTCTACAGCTTCCAAGGGAACGATGGTGAGACCCCGTTCTGTGATTTCCCATCTGATACCCATCACTCTCCAGTCCAGCTAACAGATCAATCAGGGCCTCATCAGCACTACTGTCCGCTGCAGAGAAAGCCCAAACAAACAGAATCTGTATTTTGTTTCACTTGTAAAGGACTATTTACAGTTGCTCATTAAAGTAAAACTCAGCATCTACTGGTTTGTTACTGTCCAAAGCTAAGAGGCTCCAGAAACACAGCTCTCTTCATACCTTATTTGTCCAGTTTTATGATTTATGTTCTTCTCCAGCTGCTTAACTAGAATCCCGATGACTTGTTTTTTTTCCATTTCTGCCCTCCTGCTCCATGTTAGCCTGAGTTCTTCTCTCTCTCTCTCTCCATCTTCCTACCTCCTCACACTCAGTAATGCCCCACTACTCTCCTCTGTTATTTCAGCATGAGTGCCAGTTTCTGAATCATCACTGTCTTCTTTTGCTTTCTACACTTTAAAGGCTGTATTAACTTTGCTGAACAATTGCCTCTATAAGACTTGGTGTCACTGCATCTCATGAAAGAAGATGCTGATTTTTACCAACTGGTTCTTCTTTCTTCCTGTCCTCTAGTTTAGTGCTTTATTTCTTCATCTCCCTTTTCTTGTCACTATAACCTATTCCCTTTCTGAATTCCTCTAATTTCCACACTGAAGGTTTATCTGATTTCACTGTTCCCTTAAACGCTTTCTTTTTTAAAATTTCCTTTATTTGACCCAAACCATAAGCTGACTCACGCACTTGTCTTCTCAGTCCTCATCCAATTTCTGATCCTTCTATAAAAATCGCAGTGACTTCTTGCTATATTCCTGTTTACCTGCTCATCATCTGACCTGATAATCAACTTATGATCACCAATTTATCGGACACTTTCTACACCTCTCTCCTGCTCCTCTGGCTGAAGAACTGCAATCTCTACTTTCCTTCCTCAGGAAATATCATATAACTTAAAATGATCTTGATCAGCACTTTTAGCTGTCACATACCTTCTCTATCTATAGTTCTCTCTACACCCAAATCCTTGACTGCAACACTTTCATATCTACTTTTGCCAATAAACATATTTGCATTGTACATGTAGTAAAAGCTGGTGGCTAGAGTTTGCCAGGTTTCCCTCCCCATCCAAACTTTCCAGTGTCCATTTGAGAGCACCCTACTCATATGCTTTATTTACACAATGATGTATATATTAGGATGGTATGAATTATGTTCATTTCATCTTTTCTAAAGTATTTTAAGTATTCACTACCAAAAGTTAATTTTCAGGCTATCATGTTATTTTATTGTTTTTCTTTTTTTTCGTGGCATTCATATTTGTTTCCTGCCACGGTCTTTTGCCTGCTCTCATAGTTTCTTTCTTCTGGTTTCTTTCCCTTCAACCATTCTTTGGTATTCATACATTTTGGAAAATACTTCTGCTATTGCAATTTGCCTTTCATTATCAGCCCATAATTGTCTGGTATCTCCAGAGAGTTGGACATCTAAAGATAGTCTAAAAGTACGTTCTCTATCACAACCTTGAGAAAGACATAGCAACTGCAAGAGCATCATGGAGGCAGCCAAAATGCTATTTATTCTGAGAGTTCCAGTTCTACATCCCTAGGAGCACAAGGAATAGCTGTATGCAGAAAACATCTGAACTAACCAAGCAAGATGTACCGGCTTAGTGGACTGATAAGGCATAGTTGCACCTACAAACACATTCTCCTGATGACATGATCAGAAAATATGGAAGTTTTTTTCAGTTTTTCTTTCCCGCAGGAAAGAAGTCTCAGTCTGCTTTACACACCCCCGAGGTAAAGTACTAATTTTAATGACTGGTAGCATAAGTGAACACAACAGCAGTGCAGAACAGTAAAATAGCCCAGAAGAAAAAACAAATCCCAGGCATACTCACTAAAAGCTGTAGTCTGATTCAGTCTTTGAGACAAAGGCTGAAAGCTCTGGCTATTCTCCATAATGTTTAAAATTGCTTCTTCGTTAATAAGTGCTTCTTCTTCCTTATCAGTATAGATCCTATTAGGTTCTTCAAAAGAAGACAAAAAGCAAAAAGATAGAACTTGCAAGAGTCACAGGCATCAATACATTATGAAAGCAAGCCACTTGAAAAGGATTTTTTTATTCAAGTATATTTCCATTATTTGCTACTGCGATTTTTAAAAGTCTTACTCTAACAATTATAAAAATAAAAGCAAATAATGGTTCAGTGTCTTTTGTAACAGACAGCTGAATCTTTCTTGGCTTACTGATTTATGCCTAAACAATTATACTGTTAAAAATACTCACCTTTATTCATCTTTTTATCTTTATGCACTTCAACCATATTAGCTGGCGTACATGGAAAGGCTTCAGGAGAAACTACCTCGGAATGTAGTGTTAGCTCAGCAGAGAACTCCTCTGATCCATTACTGTAGTCCACTGATCCTGACAACGTTCTAGTTAATTGAAAACAAATTTTAAAATGCTATGTAAGGCTAGCAGAGAATAGCACAGTTTATGGCAAGTTGCTAAAAACTTACACAGAGAAGTCATTTTGCTTGAGGATTTCCTTAAGCCGCTTCTGGAAAAATTTTTCACTTTCTGTTGCTGGCAAAAATCCACGATCTTTAAAGTTTTTAAAAAATATGTTATTCAGCTTTAATTAAATTATCAACATACAAAGAGAAAGATATGTGTGACAACTAAAATTACTAATTATGTTAACAAACAGTTCAAATTAGAAGCGTCACTTAATTTTAAGGGCCAAAATGGAAGGTCTATTTTTTCAAATGTATTTAAAACACCTTAAAAATACTTCACTGCAAGTATCAGGAGCATCCACAAATTACATTGCAATTACATCAATTTTAGCATCAAGGAAAATTCCACGAAAATTTATTTTGAAAATTGGCTCCGAATAGCATTACACAGAGACAGAAGAAAAAAGTACAGTCAGAATGCAGTGTGCCTGAACCACGAACCTGTCTCTTTCCTTTTTGCAATCCTCAGGTTTACCTGTCAAATACTGTCCACCTTTTAAAAAGAAGATGGCCTAGATTATACAGACAAGAGTCTTGTTTGTTATGCAGTTAATTCATAGAGCATAGTCCTTCCTTTGCAATGAATAATAATAAATAAAAACAGGGGGATTTGTTCATCTTTTTATCATTTTCACCTAAAATCATTTTAGTTAAAATTTCACAGAAATTCAAAGGAATTGTCCTCGTGCATAATCTACCATGGAAAGGTTTAAGATAGGTTTAAGATAGATGTTTAAGCATTGATATATTTTCTATTGTAAAACATGCAATCTTGACTCAGTATTCACTCTTCGTACAGTGCTTTGCATCTTGCTGAATCAAGACATTTTTAGGAAAGCTTTATGTTTTAAAATTTGCTGTGCACATAGTGGGCAATCAGTACATTTAGAACTGCAAAATAATACATCTAAAAACACTGAAACTTGATGCACTAGTTTCAATTCTGCCTCCTGTTTTTTGTTCAAAGCTTTTGATAAATAATTGTACAGTATTTTTTTACCTTGTGAATCAGGTGTCTTAATCTGAGAAGATTCGGCTTTCTCTCTCCGTCGCTGCTTTTCATCTTCCCATATAGCTTGCAAACCAGGGTTCCTGCCGATCTGGGCTGAAATACACAAAAATATACGAGGATAAGTTTGCCATTGTGACAAAATGTGTACTTTCCAAAAAAAAAAAAAAAAATAAAAAAAGGACATTTTTTCATCTAATACCATTTATAATTCTAACTTATTTTTTATTGCAATTCTTGCCTTACTTGAGGATTCGTTTTTTTTTTTTTTTTTTTCCCTTCTCTGTATCTCTGGCTTTTACTGGTCTTACAAAGCAGAAGCACATGCATGTATATACACACACATTTACATAAACAAATGAATGTAAACAAAAATAGAAGTGGAGCAAGTGCAAAAAGAGCCAAAGTTATTTCAAAGATCAGTAAGCAACAGCTCATTATGCTGATATTTTACTTACTCCTCTTATAGGTCTAAAGCCTCTGTTGTGCATTAACAAGAGCCTTTTCTATCGCTCTGATAGCAGACTACTCTCCTAACCAGGTTTCTTCCAGTATTCACGTAATTCATTTTTGGCTTTTACAGCTTTGTAGATTAATAGGTCACATTTTTTCAGACTCATATCTGGACTGAGTTTTACTAAGTTGAGCCTTTAAAAAAGGTGTATAACAACATAGTTCCTGTCCTAAAGTGTTTTACGTGAAAAAAAAAAAATCAGTACTTCACCTTCAATATCCAGTTGATTCAAAATATCGGCAGCTACTGCATCCACCTCCAATTCACATGTACTCTGCGGCTCAACATCCTTCAATATTAGAGAGCTAGGACAACATAAGCACCGTAAGTTCCTTTATGAACACCATTATGTTCCTTTTGAAAAGGCGCAGATCATCACTGGTTTCTAACTAGACTAGCATCTAAAACACTGGGGGAGGGGAATATTCCATTAATTCAGAATTACCAGTCCTCACAATTACCTGCAAGTTCTTAAATTAATGGCCATATCCGAGTCTAAATAGATGAAAAAATTTTATCTTTGATTTAAGGGTGTTTTTGTAAGAGGAAAGAAATGGTAAATAACTCTAAATACTATGGTCACAATACTACTGTAATAAACTCCTCCTCATATACAATATGCACTCTTTGACAGATCTTTCTATCAACAGCACCATGAATCTAGCACCATGAAAAACAAGTCAGAAGGACTAGATTTACTCTAGAGATCCCTTCCAACCTTAACGATTCTATGATTCAATGTTCCGAGCCTCAGTTTGGAACCACAGTTCCAATCTCATAAATCTTGGGGCGGAATACAGTCCTCCTGGATTCTCCATGCTCTACATATGCTCTGAAGAGAAGTCCCTATAGCTCAAGGAAGTGAGATATGTTGTATTTAAGATTTAGCTAGCCCCAACGCCTTCTCTGGAAATTAATCTACAAATATGAAACTCAAAAGAAAGGTAGAATTAAACTGCTTAGACATGCAGTTTATAAGAGCAAAATTCTAATGACTTCTCAGAAAACATATGAGGAAAAAAAAATGGCGAAAAGTATCAAGAAGGAAAGTACACTAAAAATAAACAAAACAAAAAGTCCTAAACATATTCAGAATCTTTAACATTTCAGAAGTTAAAAATATTCACCTTCTCACTCCTTTTGCAGAGGTCTATGGTACTGACAATGAGCACCCCAGCAATCACAGGAAATCAGCATTGAAGCTACTTCAGATACAAACTGCTCCTGAAGAGCCCCTAGCTCCTGCAATCCAGCTCTGAAACACTTGCTCTGATTTTGAAGTAACAAAAGACTCTCTGGGATCTTTTGAACTGCAGTAACTGAGCTGGTTTAAACCACCCGAGCCCAAAGGGAAGGTGAAGGGATCCTCTCCCAGAGCTTCAGCGGCCCCTCCATCACTCCTTTGCCCCCATGACAGAATCACCCCTTCCTCCACCAGCTCTGCTTTTACTGCTCTAAGGGCAAAGGCTGAGGAGAAAGCAAAAAATTACTCCCGTGATGGGGAGAAAAGGTGGTAGGGGGAGAGCTGACTCGCATTAAAAGGGTTAGTTTTCTAAAGAGGCAGCACGAAATGTGCTTTTATTGACTGCTATGGAGATCTAAAGCGCACCAATGTATCATGAGTTAAAGATACCTAATCCGTTCATACATGAAATATTACGCCCACGATACTAGAGGAACTTCATAAGAAAAGCACTGGTAAAAAGTGCTTTCTAACACTGCCAGATGACATTATCACCCTCACAGGAAGCCAAAACTGTTAGGCTGCAACTACTTTATTACCTCTGTATTTTTTTCTGCGTCTGTGAAGAAATAATTTCAATTGAAATGTCAACTTTCTGCATTCTTGGAGAAAATGCTGAGACCTTACAAAAAATTAAAACCTATATTTAACCATAAATAGTAAAGTTTTGAAATTGTCCACCAGAGTAGCAGAGATTAAAATAAAAATCCACATTGCCATAAAGTTACAGCTCATCAGCTTAACAGTTTAGGCAAATAACTGTATGACAAGGTAAGAGTGAACCTTCAGTCTACAATGTAAGCTTATGAAGCAAGTCCTAGTGTTTCTGTTCAGCACTTTAGGGAAAAGTCAGAGAGGACTGCAAAGGGAAGTAATTATTAGTTGATAATGATTAGCAGATCCCTCTATATATCATTTAATAAAAAGCTGTAGTTTGACTGCTCAGCTGGTACATAGCTTGCCTCTGTGGTAAGGAAGGACTATTCCTCTACGTTCGACTGATAGGATCAGATGAAAGATGCAGCAGAAACCACAGTAGAGCCATTTCTTCCTCTAACAGGTCATAAGACACTGGAAAGAAGACTCCACTTTACTGGAAAGTAAAATCCTATTTCACACCATATAAAACTGAGAAATGAAACAGCAGATGTCTCAGAAAACAGATTTTGAGTCAAGATAAGGAGAAAGTAGCACATACTGAAAGGTTATTTCATAAATTCCCAGGCACTTAACATTTCAAAAATAGAAAACAACATTTCCAGAATTGATGTAACATTCAACAATTTCTGGGCAGTCATACTTCCAAAATTTGCACTGTCAAGTTCTGGGGTTACACTAGTATAGTAACTGTAGTATTACAAGTTTACTACACATTTTTACTCTGTTATAGAAAAATAATGCAACGTAGGCCATTTCCTCATTCTAAGCATCAAAAAGCTGTCTAGCAGAGCCAAGAAGCACTTTTTCTATAGAATTCATTAAGAGTTGTAAGAACTCATGCATTAATATGTATCTGCTAATCCCACCAGGCAGCAGGACTGTATTGGAGTTACTGAGAGAATTAAGCAGATCACACAACTCCTCCACCAAAGCAACTCAGCCTCTTAGCTGAAGTAGACTGCCCATACCCAGGGCACATTTTGAGGACTACCCATTGCTATCACTCCTCCTCCTTCCCCACCACAATATCAAACAAGATACAAGCCTCTAATACGATAAAAAACTCAGACTCAGACTATGGTTGAGGTTGGAAGGGACCTCTAGAGATCATCTAGTCCAACCTCCCTGCACATGCAGGGACACCTAGAGCACATGGCACAGGGTGGCATCCAGGCGGGTTTTGAAGACTCATACTTCTCCTGTGCTTTTCGTGTGCTTTTTTCAAGCTCACATGCATCAAACTATTCCAACGGAGGTTGCTGGCACTGTAGGCGACAGGAACTGCAAGCTGAAACTTGCATTTTGATAAAAACAAACAAACAAACAAACAAACAACCCTGCAAGATCTTGAGGAAAAAAGATTGCAGGAAAAGGCTACAAAAAGTTTGTCTGCTCCCTTCACGCATCTCTGGAGACAAGTAAAAAGGGTGCAGAATGCACACGGGTCCCTGATATCAGAAAAGATTTATTTTAGTACTTCTCTTTACTAAATGACACAAGGAAACAACCTGAAATCTGGTCAAGATCTGGCTTTTTCTTGTGGGGAGTACTAGCATAGCAAAACTCTGAGCATTTTACTTTCACGTATTTCCTCTTTAAAAAAGGATTCGATCCAACATAATGAGAAATAACATTATCTCATTTTAAGAGAAAACATATTTTTAGCATTTATGACCTATTTCTGAAGATTTTTTTTTGATAACTAATATCATTAATCAAACATTTGCTTTTCCTCTGACAAAAGAAAACATTTCTTCAAAAAATCTTTTTTCCACAACCCCATCAAGAATATGCCACGGCCAGCAATTCATCTTGAGAACTGATTAATACCAGGGGCAGAATTAGCTAAGAGCTTTCCAAATAATCATAACTCTTAAAAATAAGGGACTCTAATCTGGATTTATTCTATAAAAATAACACTGAATTCAGCATTGCTGAATTCAGATGCTGTTTTCAAAGCAAACTGGTATTAGTCACCATAACTAAGTTCATTTTTCCACAATAATATTAATTTGAAACGTTTTGCCTGCAAGTCACTACAATTAATGTGATTCAGGCTTGTCTCTGTTTCATAAGTTTTTGCAAATGGATCTATAAGGTTTTAGAAGGAGGCAAGCTCATTTTGCCCAAGCTCTGAGCCAGGTAGCTTTAAGGAGTCTTTCAGTCAAAAATTACAGTATTGCAATTAACATAGCATATTATTCAAGCTAAAAAAACACTGAAAACTAGGAGGAGCCCCTTTTTTTGAATAAACTTAGTCTTTGTCATTGTAATTCTCATTAATGTTTTCAGGATTATGGCAGAGCTGGCTGTCAAAACAGTATGCTCCAAAGACTGACGTGACAGTAAGAGGGACAAGTAGGGTTTCCGAAAGACTTCAGAAATACCTTATCAATACATGCAGGTAATTAACCTCTTGGGATTTAATGCCCTTGCCTAGGCAAGAGGCTGGACACTTGCATTAGCAGCAGACAGGCCACCAGCACGAGCTTCTGCAGCATCTAGATAGGTACCAGAGGCCATGCCACCAATCTTTCCCTCCTCATGAAAAGCTCCAAGGGAGCATATGAGAGCACAGTAGCTTTAATTTAGCCTGATTAGGACAAAAATGTCTGGAGAAAAAAGTCACAGTACAGGCTCCCTTTTTTGCTCTTTTTTTTCTCATCTAGAGCAAACACACACAGTCTACCAAGGAAACGGATGAAGGAACTGCATCTCCTGCTCTTTCAAGCCATGCCACATTTCCTGAGCAGCTTCTTTGCAAAGAAGATTGTTTCATATAATCTCAAACCAGGGTGATTTGAGAACAGCTTTATCAGAAAAAGCTTAGAAAATAAACCTTAAAAAGTATCAGCCAAAGCTTTCCACAGCATCTATCTTTCATTTGGCAGGGCAGAAGACAGGTAGGATTGATCTCAGGGCACATCGCACTGTTGTACAGTTGTGTGAAAGGTAGGTTTAAGTGAGGTAGCAGAGGAAGCAACCAAAGTGCAAGACCATGTAGCTTATTTGGCTAAGAAACAGATTTCGTCAGGGTTGCACAACACTGTGCTGCCATGGCCGGGTTACCTGAAATGTGCAAATTGATTCATTTGAAATTACCTTATGTTTCTGCATACTAGACTAAAAGCATCACTGCAAACCCATCGTACCTTTGTAGAAAAAGCTCCAGATGAATTATTTTGAGAACAGGCAGAGAAACTAGACAACAGACCTTACTTTCGGAAAGTTAAAAGCTTGCTACCACTATCCACTGGAGTAAGAACAGTGTAGGATGAAACCTGTGATCAAAGAATATATTGAGATTTAAATCTCCTCAGTCACTGAGGCTGAATCGAGACACCTGCAGACACACTGATAAAAAATTGCCCACTACAGCTAGCTAGTTCAAAGCACTCACAAACCTTGAAAAATGGCATCACGGTCAGTATCTTAACCCATCATCGCCAATGACAGTCTTGGGAAACAGGAATTCTGTTGCCACTTCGTAGACATTAATAATGTTAAATTGAAGTTCATATGTATACAATGAACCCCAAATATCTAAAAGGTGTCACTCAACTACATTGATAAGGACTCCACCTTTTCACATAACACGTTTGTAATTCCATATTCCACTCTGGGGAGAAAAACTATATTCAAGTCACCGGAATATCCAGCAAACGTGCACATTTTATTGAGAGCTGAAAGGCTAGATAAAACATGCATATCCTGACAAGTGAGAAAAACAATTATAATAGCAGAAACCTTAATGTTACATAAAGACTCGAGTGTGCAATCGTGTTGTTTGTCAGATTTCTCTTCATTTCCATATCAACTAGAGTTCAGTAACAGATCTTGTTTTTGAGAAACACTTTGTTTTTTTTAAATCTATCCCACCAATCATTCTGCTTTTAACACACCGTGTCTGACTGGTAGACTCTACAGGCAGATTACTCCAAGCCTGATGTTTACCAGGCAGACTTCTCACTGGAACCCATAAAAGTGTTTCATCATTTATTATCAGCTACCTGAGGGATAACACCAATGCACCTCATGTGAAGAACTCATCTCATCAAAATTGTTGGATAGCACTGACAGGCCCAAGTGACTACAGCTTATTTTTAGTCAGGCTTTGTAGGTTCCAGTCTGATAGCACTGGCAAGCATTGTACCTACAAGTATTAAATCAAGGATTTCTTGGCACTAATGGCTTTGGCGTTTGCCCACTTCGCAACAGAATCACTTCAAACTAGATTAAAAGAGAACAAAAAAAAAAATCAGCCCCTGGCGTAATACAGTAAGCTAATTATAGCAGCAAGTTAATAATTCAGAGATATGCCAGGAGCCAGACAGGACACGGCTGGGGTAAACGCTGCTCTGGAGAGTGATACAGTAGTAAAGTGCAATCTAGGAGTGAAAAGTCAGTTCGATTACCAAGAGGCCTTGGCAAAGGTGTAAGAATTCACTCATCCGAAAAACGGCTTATGTTGCAAATGTAACTTTTGAATGATATCTTGCATAGCACATCCCAGGCATTCAAAATCAGACTTGCATGATACAGCAAAGGGTCTTCTGAAGTCAAGAAAGACTGTATCAGTGGCCCTGACGTTGTCAAACACGAGATTTTTGTGTTTCTTGCAGCAAGAAGTGAAAGATACGTGTTAGAATCTTTCTTTAAAAGTGAATCTGGATCCACACAAAATGGGATAATGGGTCTAGACAGTTATCCTCATCATGAATAACAATATACTGTAAATAAGAATACAATTATCTCATTAATATGACTACATAGCAAACAAACAATTTTTGTGTTCTCAATGACTGTGCTGTCCTCTTTTCCTTTTTCTTCCAAAAGCAACCAAATTTTTTAGAACAAATTTTAAAGGAAATAAAGCAGGAAGGTATCTGTGGGATAAACTGTGAGATAAAGTTGGTACAAAATTTGTGTAGATTTTCAATAAAGAAGAGGTTGAGATTTTTGCTTTGCAGTGACACAGAGCTCCTACAGTTATGCTAGAACTAATAATTAATAATAAAATAATAAATAAATAATAAAATAGTTTTGTGTATAAAGGAACATTAAACATTACTGAATATAAAACAGAAATGATGTAAACAAGGATTTAATTTCTTAAAGCATGTAAAGAGCTGGCTAAAGGTGAAATACTCATAGGTAACACAAGACAGACAGACTGCAGGGTAGAACTGAAGACAGACTTAGAACTGAATACAGACCAGCTTTTGGGACTGAGTTTATTTCACATCTCATTAATATTGTTTGCAGTAAGTGCAGGAGTGTGCTAATGAAGAGTGCTGATAAAGCAAAGCTGGTAGCCAAGACTGGATACACAGCCAGATCATACTATCATACTATCATAAAATGAGAGTCAGATAACTGAGAAGTAGAATAACAGAAACAATTTTACAATAGGATCCTATATGAACTGAATGAAAGATCATCACTTGGAGGGGAAAAAAAAAAAGGGGGAGAAATATCTTGACTGCAAAGCATACCAGAAAAAAAGTAGGTTTTTTTTGTCAGAAAGGGAACTAAGTGAATTGCCAATATCACTATACCAGCTACTGAAAAGAACTTATTTGGCGCATTACACCCAATTCAGACATTATATTATATAAATTAGGTAGATCAAGGTAGAACCAGCTATTTTCTGTATCCCCTTCACTATTTTTTTGGGCAAGTACACACACACTCCTATTATAAATTACAGACTGGCAGTGGAGGGATATGAAAATTCTAAGTTGAGATTCTTGTGTAGCTGCTACTATTCAAAACACACAAACTGGAGGACTTTCATAGCACACCATTCATGTTAGTATTTTTTTTAATATAAAGGTCACACACCACCCTAAAAGAGACACTAGAATCCTGTAGTATATATAAGTTGCTCCTAATAAGAAAATATGGGACACAAAAAAAAGTATGCTGACCTTGGTATTTCATCTTCTTCCCACCGAATAAAAGACACGCTGTTTGAATTTTCTGGCAAATGATTTTTATGACATTCACTTATGTCTGATGTACCACCTAGGACAAAAAATAGTTAAAAAAAAAAAAGTAGAAGAATGAATTAGCTATGCTGCAATATTTTTTACATACATAATAACTGACCTTACTATTTAGCACTAGAAGTCCAAACACTTCTAAAGAAAAACAACATGGCATATCCTAGACTTCAAAAGTAATATAGTATTACTGAAGTGATTTTTCTTAAGAACAGGTACATATAAAAATATATTCCTAGTACACTAATAACATTAGAATAAAATTTGGTCTAGATTTGGTCTAATCATGGCTTAAGAAATTACTCAGTTTCCCACTTTCATACAAAAGACATCTTGAACTTTGAATATACTCCATTATTTTTGGTTTATCACATACCTTTTTTCAAAAATATATATATTAGATTTGCCTTTCAACAACAGCAAAAGCTTTTTTTTTTTTTTTTTTTTACAGCCATGGTGATTGCTGAATTCAATTGTCAGAGACTGTTCATGAATATTTATGAAGAACATACATTTTTATTCTACACTTTTAAAAGCAAGTTGCACAATGGAGTGTTGTACTACAGAAGTCACTGGGAAATAAAATGACAAAATGCCTTGGAAGCACTTAGCAACAACCAAAATTCAGCCGCCTGAACCCAGACTAACTCCTGCAAATGCTGTCCCTGAATCAGTCTCCCAAGTGTGCTGACACTCAGCTACTAAACCATCATGGAAAATATCAAGTAAAGACATGCCCATGTTTATGCAGCAGCCAGCTCAAATTCAGGCAAAACTGTGCTAAAATGGTCTGTGCCCTGCAGTTCCTAAGCAGGAATTCCAGGAAGAGGCTACAAATTGCCTGATGTGACTTTGCAAAAACCCAGCTCAAACCTCACACAACTTAACGCCCATCATGTTCCGAGGTGACTACTTGCCCCTGGGCAGAGAAGCTCCAGGAGGAAATGCAGCCCTGTTTTCTCCACGGGGCATCTCAGCTAATTCAGTACATGAAAATGAAAGCTGCCTCTATGCAGGAACACCTCTTATTCCTTCTCCATCTGCAACTTGGCTATTTTAAGAGTTGACTAACCAGGACTGAACAGTTGTATGTTTTAAAAGACACACCAAATAGGCAATATCAGAGGTCTAAGGGGAAAGTTCGCAAATCTGTAAATATATACCACTATATGTATTAAAAACAAACACTTCATTTCAAATGTCAGGGCAGTGTTAGTGCATTTTTTTTTCTTTTCTCTGAACTCTGCTTTCAAATACTTCCAGACGTGAGGCCCAGAGTCCTAGATTTTTTTTTCTTTAATAACAAAGTTACTGAGAGGGATTTAAGAACACTTAATTCTCCTGTTTCTTTTCTTGACATCCAGATCTTGTAAGACAGTATCAATGATACACCTAGATCTTTTCGAGTCAAGTTATAGGAGATTCATCCACTGAAAATTTTGTAACAGTTTTAGTGGCATATGGTGTACAAATGAGTCTGCAGCCTCTCTTCTCACTATCCATAAGGAAAAGGATTTGTAAAGAAAATGGAACTCCTGCTTCTTCTGGATACATACTGGCAAAGGCAGAGTATTCCTGTTTCTATAAATTTGCCTGCTTACTTCTCTATCCTCAAAAAGGCCTGCTCACCTGAGTGAGAAAAATACCACTGGAAACAGGCTCCCGAGGTATGATCACTACACATTTAGTAACAGATCTACTTCTGGATTTTCTATTCCTTCCTAGACTGATTTTTGTATCATCATTTGCTATTGAAGAAAAATAGTATTTATGGCACTTATGTAGACAACAATTTATACTGATATCTCAAATGGCACCATTCCATTAGGTCTGCTAGGAGTGCAGTCTGCTCTTGCTAGGAGCCCTGCTGCTGTTACATGATCAAGCCAGGACAAGGTAGTTTGCCATTTCCTCGCTTTTATCCTATTGGATTTTACCCTGCAAGAACAGTTCAAGACCAACAGTCTCACCCCGTGCTCTTTTTCCATCTTTTGGAAAGATCCAAATGCATCCCTTTTCCAAAGGGATTCTTTCCACTCAAGATCTACATCTCTTATATAAATGGCTCACATCTTGCTTTCCTATTTTTTTTTCAAATGATAGATTTAAAAAAAATAGAAAAAGAATGAGAACAACTATTCCTTACAATCAGATTATACTTCTCCAATTTGGGATATTTGGAAACCTACAGATATCTGACTACACTTCCTCAGGACTGAAGATCCTGAAGCCTGAGCTTCTTTCTTCCTACAGTGCTCACAGCAGCAACAAGTATGGCCTATCACTGAGTATGGAGAGCTTCCAAATGTCTTCTGAACGCTTTTCTAGAGATTAGAATCGGATATGAAACCCCATGCACTAGTCTATCTCTGTCTAAAAAGACACACATAATAAATACAGGGAAAAATTAAAGACACTGTGATTTTTATTTTCTGTTTTACAGAAAGATATTTTATGAGTTATTTTGATATCTTTGTTTATTTATTAGAACAATAATGATTTAACTAAACAGTACTTTATTTGTTTTACATTTCAAATGCCAAATTAATTATTAAAATTAAATACCTCCTTTATTCAGACATTTATATTTCAAATTTCACCCTGGAGCACATAACAGTAGTACAAATGGAAGCATTTTAAATAAAATGTTATTTGTCAGAGGACCATAACATAATCTAGTTAAATTTTGTAAAGGCACTGCAGCAGCAAAAATAAGTTATAATTGATTTAGGGTTCAAAAACAAATGTCAAAAAATGTGAAAACACTATTTGTATATTATCTCTCAAGACAAAATTCCTCTGAGAGAGATGCATATGTCTTGTCAACAGAGTCAAAGCCATACCACTTTGTGGCAGAACACATAGTGTTTGACATGTGTCATGTCAGTTCATGAAGCAGGTTATTCCTCAGTCCCAACACGCAGGCACAGAGAGGAACAACGACAGAAAGCCACACACCGGCTTTCACGTAAAAGGCAAACTGTAAGGAAACAGCACAGCTCTCACTCAGGCACAAAACAATTGCTTAGTCTTAAGAAATAAACACCTTACTTTTTCTCCTTGCCTTTCTGAATTTGACAGCAGCCAGGTTTATTAAATTCATTCCATATAAGTTGTAGTCTATAAAGAGCTGAAGGAGGTAGGGAATATGGGCTTCATGAGGCTGGTAAGATTTGTTCATGATGGCTCCACCTTGCAGAAGCTCACATACTCTAAGATTAAAGACAAATTAGAATATGAGACAATTTTTTTTTTAATTGAAAAAAAGAACAAGTGTCTTAACTACTTCCTTAGTAGCATTTCCAACTCATTAAGAACTTTGTTTCCACAATACTGCATCTGCAAGAACAGGTCTTTGCTAATAAATAATTCAATATATTGATATTAATTACCAAGGAACGACAATCCTCCAGCTTAAAAAAAAGAAAAGAAGAAAGAAAGAAAGAAAAGAAAAATGGTACCATGTAATATTATTGCAACTCATTCAAAGCCGTTACGGTTCATAAAAATCTTTCTGTAGAACAACTGTGGTAGTTTTATGCCTGCAAACCAACAATAACTTTGCAAGCCATTCCATTTCTTTTTGACACATATGTAAATAATTCATTCACAATTTTAAACGCACATACTATACAAACCGAAACAGTATTCAAGAGCTTCATGGAAGCATGACAGATCTGATCTTTTAAATATTTGCAAATTAAAAAGAAACCCTGCAACTATTTGGGTAATTATAAATCCATGTGATAAATGTATTTGAAAGCAGTACAATATCTATAAGCCAAGGACACTAAGTGTGCCTAAACACAAGAAAATGTTTTTCAAAATAAGTTGCACAAAAAAAAAAGAATAAAGTATATGAAATGCCATTCCTTGTTTGGATAGAAGTAATTCAAACATGAAAAGCTCCAAAGTGCAGTTTCAAATAACTGACCCTCAGTTATACATGCATATACCCTCCAGTAGCCATGCAGAATTTTACTAGCCTAGAACAAAAAACAGAAAATCCTATCTTATGACCATGTATTACCTTTTTTTTAAAAAAAAAAAAAAAAAAGTTAGGATAGGCAATATTAAAATCTACAGAGATTTCAATCCATCTTTGACAAGTAATTCTTAATAATTCCTCCTTATTTATCCCTGGATTTACTGCAATTAATATTCTACTAAAATCAAAACCAATAGTGTTTTCCTTGAATACAACATTTCTTCATTGCATAATAATTTTGTTGCTTCTGTTGTTGAAATGGGGGAACAACCTTCCTTCCAAACTGACTTTTTCATTCAAGAAAATCATCCAGACTCTTGATCCAGAGTCAGTATCACTTTGTCCTTACCTTTTTACCATTGCAGGATTGTAAAGATAAATCTTCATAAAGTGTCTCTCCTTTTCATGGTAACCATAAAACGGCCTGGAGAGAAAGAAGTGAAAACAAGAAGCCAGTCAGTTATGCAGTGGAGTTTTTTCAACTTCAGCTTACCATAAAAGTTCTTAAAATTGAGGGGGAGCAGAAAAGCAGAGTGGAATTCTGGATTTCCAGGAGAAAGAATATCCCCATGTGTCAGGCCACTGCAATGCATTATAATCCAAATGTTTTTCTTAAAAATAAACTTTCAAAACTGAAATGTCCCTTCTGCAAAGGCAATTCTTTAAAGACATATTCTGTGGAATCTTAACCCTTCATCTTTAGATATTATTAACATGTTTTCTGAACAGGGAATTCCTATGAGACAGTGACTGGGGGGAATCAGAAATGGTACCCGTACACGTATGTCCACCTGGGGAGAAAGGAAGGCGGCTTAAAAGAGGAGGCAGATGCCTGGGAGGGTACTCAGAACCAGAGCGCACCCACGCAGCAGAAACTGCTGTCCAGCACTTCCACCTAGATGACTTCCACAACAGTCTAATACAAGGGAGCGACCACAAGCTTGCCAAAGATAGACAACGGTGAAATGAGAGATCGTAAAGATTATTTAGAAACTGCCACTCATTTTCCAATCTGATCTTTTTTTCATTTTATTTGGAGACATGCCATGAAATCGAATCTGCGCTACATTGCTAAATAATACTGACTATATACAAGTACAGTATACATACCATGCAATACTAAATACAAAAATAAGCCCTGTACATGTCCAACTATTAAAAAGGCGGCCTATCATTCTGTTTCAGTTTTCCCACATGCAAACACATTGATGACATGTATCATAAAAAAGCACTTTCGATAAATTTACTAGTACTGGATTGCTTCAAAATAAAAATTAAAAAAGCAAAAAACAGCATTCAGCTCTTCTGAAAATTGTTATAAGAAATTCCATGAGGAAATTAATTTTGCCAATCAGCTGTAAAACAGCAAATATCAGTTGCATAATATAAGTGAACAAGCACAGTTTAAGACAGAATAGCTGCTCCCTTTCAAGGTTTACTAGTTGTCCCATGAATCAAATAAGGCATGAATCCTGAAGAAAATATTATTTCAGAATGCAGTTAAATATTACATCTAATAACAAAACACCAAGACTAAACTGCTTGTTGTACAAGCAACATTTGTTCCGGTATTATTCGCTGAATTGCTGACTTTTTAGCTTTAACAATATTATTTTAATATACTTACATTATTCCACGAACTTACTTATGCTCTAGCACGTTAAGGAAACAGACCATAATTCAGCATGCTGAATGAAGGTAAGAAGTCTACAGTTTGCAGTATGCATGCCTATGAAGTTAGCAAAAGTACAGGAAGGCATAGTTTTAAATGTTACCTTTATAAAACAAAATCTCTTTGTAAAAAATATTATCTCTTGTAAAATATATTATTAAAAATGCTACCATGAAGCTGGACTGCTAAAAGAAGTGCAGTAATGAGAGTGATTTCAGTCCTAAATTAAATGCAACTTTCAACAGAACTGCACAGCTACTGCATTAACACTGCTGCCCTCAGTATGTGCTTAAATGCACACAGTTGATTACCCTAAAAGCCTGACTGAACTCTTTTAAGCATAGTTAATGATGCTAAAACTAAGCAATGTTGCAATAACAAACAGCATAGCTGTTATAATGAAAAGGAAGAGTACAGATCTACCTCTATGGTGAGGCATTCTTTATTATCAACTTAATGACAGATTATACATTGAGCTGTAACGACTCAATGTACAGCAGGTAGGCAAATTAAAAGTTAGTTTAAAATGTCAGCATTTGCATAGCAAATGATCCATATTCATGTTGATGTGGCAGCAACGGGAGTGAGATTTATAACACTCGAGTTAAACTCGAATGTCCACTTTAACATTGCAATGCAGAAGGACAGCATTTTTTATCTCCACTTCTTCGTTTGAAAGTTAATGCAACAGAAGTTTTATTCTGTTTAGCAAACATATTATTACATATCAAATTTCCTATTAATGTAGAAGGACAAGGATAAGATAATCTACAAGATTTACAGAAAAATCTACCTTTCTCACCACAGAGGCACATGGCACATATGACCAGCATGTGACTTGAAACTGAAGAGAGAAAGATTTCTGTCACTACACAATCCTGTCTATCCAGACAGAAAAAAAAATGAGGATGTAGTACAATTTCTGTTTGGGTGCCATCAGTGTTTTATGCAAACAAGCAGAATGTATGAAACTCTCTTTTCTAGGCTTCTTTGAAGCAGCGTGCACCAAATTTTCCGTAACCGCTATTTGCAGCTCTTGGGTAAGAGAGGTGAAACTGAGGCAGGTTCTCCTACTCTGTGTCTTGTTTTCTCACTGATTGCCTTTAACAGTTTACTCTGTCAAACTTTCATAGATGGATTACTCCTCCAAAATTCTCTTCTTCAGCTGCAGTTGAATGAGATGAATACTATACTACTACTCATATAATTCCCATAGACATAACAGAAATAGGAAATAACGTGCAAAAACAGAATGGCAAAATTCTTGCAAAAACAGAAAGTTCAGATTTAAAATAAAAAAAGAATATTGCAGCCACTTTGTTGGAAGTATCTGGAAGACAGCACTACAACTGCCTGCCTCAAAGCACATTTTATCTTCCTAAGCTCAGAAGCCAGAAAGAACAGTTTTTTCAAAAAACACATACAAAAATTATTTGAAGGTTATTGTTGCACACAGATGAAAATCCAATGCATGGACAGACTGTTTCCTCCACAACAGCCTTCCCTTATTCACCGTGATTTTATAAATCTTTTAGTCTTTAGTACACAAGTCAAATTGGATTGAGAGAATCCTTCAAGTGTCAATGTCCCACATTAATGCATAGTTCCAGGAGAAGCAGAAAGCTACACCAAACAGAAATACAACAGTCAGCTTAACAAATAAATAAATGAATGTTTAAAAGCCTCTACTTCATTGCCTGTGCTGCTGGGCAAAGCAGATGGATAAACACAACCTGACATACTCTGTAATGCACTTCCTAAAGGGGCCATCCTCAACAGGAAAGGGAGGGGAGAGGGGAAAAGAAGACCTAGAGGCTGGCTCCTGCACAACACAGGGAGCCTAGGATAAACCAGGCTTGTAGACAATGCTGCCTGGAGAGCATGACCTTAACAGAAGAGGCAGAAAAAGCTAATATGGAAAGAGTTGGAAAAAAAAAGTAGCAGGATGAAAGTTTAGAAGGAATGGTGGCCTCCAGCAATTCTGGAGAAAAAGGGTTAGTTACCTTAAGCCACAGTGAAGGAGAAAGGGTATTTAGCAGCTGCACAAACCTATACGAATTTATTGGGGCAGGGGGAGGAAGCACCACAGCCACTCAAATCTTAGCAGGTACTTCTCAACAGAGCAATCACAGAAACATTTCAAAGTGCATTAACTACGAATCTCAACAGGCTGTACTTACATTCCAGATACTAACGACACTTTGAATACATGCTGGACAGTAGAAGATGGGTTGCCTAAAGCCACATTAAGTGCTCTGTCAATGCTGAATGCCACTTGACGAAGATAGTGTTCTGGATGCTGTCCAAAACCATCGTACGGTACATAGAGGTAAGGAAAGATACCATGTAAGTGGAGACAAGTCTTCTGACCTAAAAAGAAAAGGTAAACATTTTATTAAAAGATGCAGTCATTAAAAATTAAAGTTTGTGGGGAAAAACAAACAAACCAACCAAAACAAAACCAAAACAAAACAAAAAAACCCACAACTAATCAAACAGAAAATTCAGTTCGATCAGGCAGAGGAAGCCTAATTTAAGGATGTAGATGTTTACTCGCTGGATGGCCACGTATGACTAACCATGTGCTTCCTTCATAGTCTAATCAATGAGACAATTCCCCGAGGCATCCAAAGCAGGTTAGATGGAGCACATGCTGCAAGAACTGACCTCTTCATTACATAAAAAGATGGTGAGGGGTGACTGATACAGCTGTAGCTCTCTGCAGTAAGGCGAGGTAACTCCTACCCTTAATAGCATAGAATAAAGGACAATAAAGCACTGCAAGTGTATAGTTATGCAATTTCTGCCTGCTAAACACTCGGCTTGTATCTGCCACTCCTGTAGTATTCATCATGAGGTTACGATTCCACAAAACAGCTCTGCAGGACAGGACATGACTCACGGTGCTGCTGCTGCTACCAGCCACTTGTTCCAACCACTTGGGAGCAAGAACTTTCCCATTTCAGTAGGATCCTGGTCACATCTTTCCTACCGGCTTCATTTCTTATACAAGTGAAAATTACCTATTGTAACAAAGCTCTAATCAAAATCACTGTGGCTTAGATACTGCAAGACAAAAGAACCCCAGTAATTCTATCAGTTGACTCGGCTCCTTCATCAGACGGACTATTTCACTGCTGCCCTCTACTATTTCATCTCTCTGATAATACACAGAAAATACAATAGATGACAACGTAGCTTGCGTACAGATGCTTGTCATTTAACAATAAAGAGACTGGTTTACATATAGAGCATGCAGGGAAGAAGTAAAAAAAGAATAGCAAAAAAGACATTTTCCCTCGGGGAAAAAACCACCTTTTCTCTCTCTCTTTTTTTTTTTTTTTTTTTTTTTTAAAGCCCCACAGTGTGTAAAATGCTGATGAACATTCCCTGCTGCTTTCTCTAAATCTTAGATTTTTATCACCTTCTCTATAGATAAGAAAGAAGCTCCAAGGCAGTTGGAGCTGGCACAGGCACATGCCCTGCAAGGGCTCCTCACAGCCACTGTCCTCTATCCCATGCTGACTTTTCCAGCTCTGTCTCCCTGGCTCCTCCAAAGTGCTCCCACTTCCCCTGGAAGAAATTTGCACTTTTTTCTTTATGCCCACTTTCCCACAGATTATGTCTTGCTTTAAATGAACAGCTTTTAAAAATATGGCAGCACCGAATTCCTATGGGCATTCGTTTAAAGCATGTTTTTTCTTTTCTGGCTTGTGTTGCCTGAATTGAGATTGATTTTTGGCAGCTGACACAGATGAAATATGACAGATGACTCTGCCAGTGGTTTAATGATTTCTTCCTTTTAATTGATACGTGCCCCATCAGTAATTAAATCAATAACTGATCCAGTGCATTTTTCACTGGCCCTTCCTCTTGCCTTTTACATGCATTAAATACTTAAAGAAGCTAAATTTCATTATTTCATTTTTAGATTTGTATGTGGTTGTAGGACTTCATTGTTTGTCACTTCAGATTAATGCAATTCCAGTCTGTATGTGTCTTAGCAAGACTTTTTTTACCTTAATCTTGTCTTCTTTAGAAAATAAGTCAGACCTATGAGCACGTGCATGACTGGAGGTGTGTGTATGGATTCAAGCAGATTTTCTTAATTTTGTTTTTTAATTGAAACAAGTAACCATTAAGCAAAAGAGAAAGACTGACTTACATTCTATTCAATTGAGGTAGCAAAGGCTTCTGTTAATATTTTAAAGTCCTTCACACAAGCAGGCTACATTTACAAGAATTTCAACATTTCATTCTACTACTGTAAAGGCAAACTTAGGCCCTGAGAGAAATCTCTAAACTTCTCTCCTCAGAGAAATATCTAAGTTTCTCTCTTCAGAAGAATTTACTTTTGGGGGAGAAAAATAATTCCCATTTTCCCTGCAACCCTAGTTTGTTGTTTTGCCTTTCAGTTTCCTGCTGGTGATGACTACCTACGCTGCTCTTCTATGTTTGCTTAATTATAGATGTGTGATTGTCTGAGGTTAGTAAATAGACATAGTTCTGATGTGCTGAATTTTCACTCTCCTTAATTTTACAAAGAAAATGAAATCTAACAGATCATCATCTTCAACCACCCTTTCGCCTACTCTTGCCATCATACTTGCCCTGTACCAGCACTTGACTGTTTAAAAGTTTCAGGGAGAGATGATCTCTTTCCTCAGCTGAATTAGATAGAAGAAAGTGGATAACATGCTGGGTGACAGGCTACATCCTGCAACTCTTTTATAGCTGTTTTTAGCAGAGTTGTGTATCAGCTATTGCCTTCTTGCATAGTGAAAACAAGGCCACGATTAATTTTTAAAACCTTTTTCTTTTTTCTTAAGTAGTAGCCAAAATTTTATTTTCTTTAAGCTCATTTTCAGGTGCTACAGATAGTACAAAATAGTAGCATGAGCTCAGGACTAATTCAAGCAAGTTCCCAGTTCAGGCCAGCTCTCACATCCAATTCTCTGGGCCCTTTTTTGGCATGTTCACTGTTCCCAAGGCTGCATCTGCTGCTCAAGCAAACATGAATTCCTGCCCCCGAGAAGCAGTCACGACTTCAAACCAGCCAATGATGAAGTTGCACAGAAGATTTCCTAGTTTTAAACACTATAAACACCTGCTGCTCATTAACTCCCCCTCCTC